CCTGGCGTACAATCTTTCTGCTCCGGCGAGCCCATCAGCCCTGTCAGACATCCGTGATGATCAGACCAGAGCCATCAATGGAATATCGACAAATGGGAGCTTGCTTCCGCATTTTTACCGTGTCGTCGCTGCATTGATGGTCCGAGTGAGTACCCCACGTCTCGGGCCTCAGGCACTGGTGTGTGTTTCTGCTCGTCCGTCGACGGTCACGACCACCTCTTGAGTTCCGAGTCTCAGCAATGCTCAGTATTCGCAGTGTATACATCACGTCGTTCTCCCAGTTGAGCATGTCTGTTGAGCTCGTCTCACGGTCAGACCTCACTTTACCGTTTAGGTTTCTCTGTCCGAACATAATGGATTCGTCGATGCGAAAAGTGACTATCTAGACTCTACCAGAACGCATGTGTCAAACCCTGTGTGCATCCCACTCCCGCGCTCCTGAGAGTCTGCAACAGCTGGGGAGCAAGTGCCTGGTGTTGAAATCTAAATCCTGCAGTCTACGGTAGACGACGCTATCTCCATTTATTCTGACATTGATGAAACAATCAAAGCACATCAAAGCATATGCTTGTATGTGTGGAGGTCAAGTACGGTATGCTGACCCGCTGCAACAACGAAATTTTATATCATCAACGCTTACAGGGCCCATCGCTGCCATCGCATTGTATTTAAGCCAGGAACTTAGCGCTGGACGGGACGCTTTTAATCAATACTCTGCGACGTCGACTTCGGGCAGACATGACCGGTCCCAATCTGCACCTCAACAACACATATGGCTGTCTGTTCATCGGGATAAATTTCGCTATCCTGTAAGACCACATAAACACGGTCGTAGAGAAGAGCAGCGAATTTGTAAGTCGTTAGTCATCCGTTTCCGTATTCATATGTGGGCGCACCATGTACGACACGCACTCGTCGCTATTGCACTAATCAGACGTCCTCATTCCTGACACCTGCCAGGATGGTATAAATGGATCGGACGAGATTGCATGGATGTATTCACTGGCCGATTCTCAGCATATCGTACGTTGAGGAAGAAACTGCTGATCATAGCATGCAATGCTTACTTTCGACGCAGAATTACAGTGACTACTCTCACACACGCCTGAAAGCCATAGAGGAGAAATCTTACAGGAATTTGATTGCGAGCTCGCTCATGTACATTGAGGGCTGGGTCTCCGAGGGACGGCACGGACACAGCGAAGCCGAACAGGGCTTGCTGGTAGGAGACGAGCGCGCAAAAGCAACGGTGAGTGGCAAACACGCATGATAGACATTATGATGAGGGCACTGACGTGATCCATCAGGACAAGGCCTCTCTCATTAGCAACACTGGCCATGAAAGCTCTGCAGCAAAGGCAGGAACAGAAGACGATTCCAGCATCATCACGGATGACACCTCTCTTCCTATTACTACGACATCCCTGTTGTCCGGTGTCTCCTACACGCATGAACACATCGACAGGAGGACGAAGTACGTGGACTTCATCGTCGCTGAGCAAGCGGTGCTGGCATCGGAGCATTCCCGTCCATTCGGTAGCGAGACAGACCCTACAGATGTCGACAATGCGGCTGAGGCGTCCAGCACAGATATCGAGCGCCCAGCCTTCTCGGTGATGACCATTGCCTCGTACCTCGAAGCCCCTCCCCTGCAGCAAGGTGAAGAGATTGAGCAGGCGGAAAGCGGAAATATGGCTGCTCCACGTGAACTATTTCCGGCAGGGTTGCAGTTTTACAGGGAACTCTTCGCATACTGGGCTTCATCGAGTACGTCTACCGAACAGCCGGTCGCCAAGAAGCCCGACACGATGAACACGTCGAAACTCATCAAGGCGAAGAAAAGCGTCGCAGCGAAAAAGCCAGGCATGAAGCTGAAATGTCGCCCTCAGTGGAGAGCAGTGGACAATATGCCTATTTACGTCGACAAGGCTCGGGCATGGCAGGAATTTAGGGCAGCGGTTTGGAACGAGTTGGCTGATGAGTGCAATCGTCGGGGTGCTGCAGTACAGCCTACACAGGAAGAGGCCAGGGAAGATGAGGTGCGGGTTTGCAACTGCAGAAGTGAAGATTAATAGGGCTGACAAAGAAGGGATGTGATATCTACAGGGACCCGAGGGACCGATGCACGATAATTTGGATGTCATGGATGTCATGGAAGACACGGCCACAGACGACTCGAGCCAGGCCGCTGCTGGCCAAGCTGTGACGGTATCAGGAACGAAGTGTCGGCCGGTGACTATACAGAAAAGGCTAGAGCTGACCAAGATGAAGCAGCTCGCATGCCTGAAGAAGTACAGGATGCAGCAGACCAAACCATGCGAGGATTGGTATCTTTCACTGATGCGTCAGGAGGCAAAGCTTCACGTTCTCGGCATGATGGTCGTCATGCGTGCCATCAAGAAGAAACAGACGCAGGCTGCCTAGAGGTCGCAGATCCCAGGGCAGCATTGCAGGCGAGCTAAATTGCGAATATGTTTTCGGCGAGAATGAAGGGGTGGGGGTGCGAGTATACCGGCAGCAGGGGAGTTCAGAGAGCAATCACAAGAGCCGCACGATTTTGCGTGAAGAATGTCTAGGAGACACTGTATTCAACTACATGTCTCGCATGGAAGAGTGCATGTACTCACATGTCCGATTATTGTCGTCCAGCCGGAACTTGCGAGTGGACGCAATGTGATCGCAAGTGGCTAAGCAGCTCTAGATGCCTTAGCGCGTAAAAACAACGTGTTCGTGCTGCGCATGAGCGTTGCAGGCCTGCTTTGTCTTTCGCCACATCCATGGGCAATTTCTTCTTCGACTGCTACTGATAACATAAGAGACGCTTCTCGCACGCGTCCGTGAAATGGCGCTGCATCGGCAGTTATGGAAGCCGGATTGGTCCCTTTAATCGACGGTGAGTGGCGATCCCATTACGTTGTGTGTGCCTTCATGACTTGCAGGACAATGAATGCAGCGTAGTAGAATATCTAAGCAATCACTGGCTGATGAAAGTGTCGACGACTGGGAGGCAGATTGAACATGAATTGCATCTGCCAGCGCAGCGGCAATGATGAATCTCCCCGACGATGCTGCTGATCGTTGGCATATTGACCATGTACGGCTTTATAGTGTCGCATTCGCATGCCGCTCCTCGCTTGCTTGAACATTTCGGAATGCAATCTCTGTGCTGCCGCCAGATCCTATGGCCATCGCGGTCCTGGTATCGATCACGAACCGGGGGGAATTCGATTTCATTTGTCCTCGATCATTAACTGGTGACTTGCGAGACGTCTCGCTTGCTCTCCATCACGATGACGGTCATCAACTGACAGTGAACTACATAGTAAGTAAATCATTCCGTGCACGAGCAGCTGATAGTTCATGTCACCGCACCTAGAGACGACTCGCCATTCGGACAACCCGCTGCTCATCCGTGCGTAGTCCTCACGACCCTTCCGTGTGAGCAACCTATACAACGGCTCTTTCGATGATGAACCATCTACCTTCGAGGACCAGTTCAACAACCGAGCAGGCCACAATAGGAAGAGTCATACGTGTAGAGGCTACAGGCGAAAGCCAACAAATGTTCTCCTGCAAGTTGTTCGCTTCTGGACCTCACTGGTGTGAAGGGTGAATGGAAGACCATTCAAGTTTGCGAGACTTCAACTGTCGCTGGACGGCCCGATCCGTTCATCTAGCAAGCTTGCACATAGACAGCATTGGATCAGGGATGTGGTATGCGTCGACCCAGAATACAGAACGTTGAAGTTCTCAGTGTGCAAGCAGCCCGTTTGCTATGGCCGATCTTTGGTGACGACGTCCGCACCCTGTCCGCAAAAGTAGTGAGTCGATGTGGTTCTCGTCAAAGATTGAGTGGCTTTAGCGTTCGGAACAGACAGTGCGCTTTAAGGGTGCTTGACGAAGTAGAGTTCATGGCAGCGCGCAGAGCGAGAGTGAGTGGGACAGTTACCCGACTTAGCTGGAAATCGTTCTCACAAAAAATGTGCTCCCTCTATTTGTTGTATACGCGCAATGGATTTCGTGCCAAAATGCTGCCACAAATGGAGATCATATTGGCGGCTATTCTGCGCCACAGGCGCGTCTATACGATCTCTCGCAATCCGACAAACTACAAAGAACTAAAGTACAGAGCCCAGGGCTATTCAGTATGTGTTGATGTGTGAACGACTCTAATCATAAGTACTTACATTCCAGGAGCAGGTCAACATGCTCGACGTTCACAACGCCTGATCGGGGATGCATTTATGACACTGCCATCCCCGGTCTTTGGAATCATTAGGATCAAGGTATTGACGTTCACCCTCGTTCGTGCGTTCAAGTTCAAGCTTGTAGTGTCCACGGATGAGATCATAGCACAGTTCACGGTTGCGAGGCGTCCACTTGTTCGAGGGGAGCCAGAGAAGAATACTATACAGATGCCTATGATCCTCAGGCCCCGTCAAGATGCATGAAGTTGAGCGTCGCTTTTTCTCGAGTCTTTTTTCCCCCTTGCTTCACGATTATGGGTCGTCCATGCGATTGAGAGGCGCATGCGTGATATATGAGGTTATCATGTTTCAGAAGGTCGATATGAGGCGACGTAAGTGTTTATTTTACGCGTTTGAAGTTTCATATTCGTAAGGCGGGCCTGTTAATTCTTCCATATACCAGATCAGTTGCTGTACGTATGTTGAAATACCCAAGCACATCGTAGTGCTGCTGCGCATATCTGTTAATTGAATGGGACCGACCAGCTCCAGACAGGCTCTTTCGAGGTCGGCGCGGATACGAATCCATACTGTAGCATCTACATATACGAACTTGGAACGAGAAGGCGGAAGCGAAGATTTATCCCCCACCCTCCCTTGTGAATGAGCCTGCAGGGAGGACACGATTGTAACTTTGAGTGATTGATGATCAAAAGTGGTGCTAGCGGACAACGGTTTGGCCCTCGAAAGGATATTATAGGCTACTAATGAAGTACGATTTAGTGATGTCTTGGCGAGGCACAATTTACTCCCGTTCCTGTACGGATACCATGAATTGTCCCTCCATAGTCATTGTAAACGCATCCGCCATCGTTGGTCCATGGTCATTCTCGTTCAAATTGCTGTGGATGCGAGAAAAGTCGAAGTATGGCATGATACCTACCCAACAGGCCACAAATTCATATGCAGCAAGCTGGGCAGCCGGGCTGTGTATGTGCAGGCAGAATAACAAATTCAGACGTCAGCACAACGTTTAAGATGACGATGACAAAAGCTGACCAAAGGCGAGGTCCAGCTCCAAAACCTACGAATATAGAAGCTGCCGGTTTGACAAATTGTCCGTCCGCATTGAGATGACGGCCAGGATTGAATACGCCAGCATCAGCACCCCAAATCTACAAATCCAGTGTCGTAAATCGACGACGAGCAGGTTATTATTTTATCAATTGTATTCTCCTTGCCCAATGACGCAAATCATGACACTTACAGCCTTGTCGCGCATCATGATATAGTCAGACGAGAATAAGCGATCACCCTTCTCTATCTTGACTTCGGGCAGGCCGTGCTCAGGAATAGCAGGGAGAATGTCGTCACAGAGGGCTACGCATGCGTTATTTGAAAGACCAGGCCACAGACGCACTGTCTCATAGAATACAGCAAGATGGACATGATATCGCTGTACAAGACCGAGCCGAGCTCATATCACCCACATCAAGGAGTCAGAAGTATATATTCCGACTCACCATTAGATCAGAATAAAGTATCCGTGAACCTTCAGGAGCATTTTGCAATGCCTCTTCCCTCATCCTACCCACCCAGCAAGGCGTTTTGAGTAGTTCATGCAGTGACCTTCCAAGCGCATTCTGGATTTTATCTTGTCCCGCAAACAACAGTGTCACCAATATATCACGCATGCGCATTGGGTCATTATCTGGCTTTCGAGCAAGTTGTCCTAGAAAATCTGCAGGTATATCGAAGTTGACGTCCGTTGTAGCACTCTGGCGATCATGAACGACTTTCGCTACATAGTCCCGGACAGTCGAACGCGCATGGTCGACTTCGTTGGCAATGCCATTGAACTGCATTAAGGGTGACCTTATAAGCGCATACGTTGAAGTGAAATGCGAGAACTACCTTCTCAGTAATCATCCAAAACGGGTTGAGCAAGCGACTGCAACCGCGTTCAAGACGCAATCAGAATCATCGCTGATATAATGAAATGCATGTACTTCGTGCAGCCCACCTTGAGGATGTGCGATTCAAGATACTGAGCGCATCCCGAATTGCATTGGACTTCTTCATGCAGTCAACATCCTCCGTGAGCAAACCGGTGTTGATGCTCAGTGAAGACTTGCAGGATATAGCAATTGCAACATGCCCTGCTAGATCTGCACTAGGTGAGGACAAGTGTCAAACGCACGATTGTTAGTATTTTGCCTTACCATTCCAGTCGATGGGTACACATTCCATGCTCGCACTCCGCAATAATGCTCTGGTGACGAGAATGATCTGAAGTGGATGTCATACACCATTCCAACACGCCCATGTCTCCTTCCACTCACTTCATGCATTGCGATCGCAACGTGATCACTGAACGACCTATGAGTGAAAATGGGACTTGAAAATGTTCAATTGCTCTGCGTCGTAATACAAATAAGCGCAACGTACAACACAGTTCTCTGTGCCAGTCGCCATTCTGCTCCTTCGGAAGCCAATGGGGTATTCTTCCCGGGAAACTCGCTAAAAATGGTGATTGACACAGGCACCCTGCTGTATTTCTGTATGTCCATTATAGCAATAAGTCGTGAACTGAACAGTCTGTGTAATCGTAACTCATTCGCACCTTCAAGGTGCTTCACGTGTGCCAGCCATTCAGGTCGATTGATAATGACACCGCGACCCCATGGAGGCATCGTAAACGTCCAAAGTGGACCAAATTCACTGTGCATTCTCTGAAGCCATAGCAGAAACCGAGTGCGCCAAGGATATACTTGAAACAAGTTGCCAACGATGGGAAAGCCGATAGGACCGAGAAGCTCGGGACGTGGATAAGTACCGATATACCTATTTGGATACGCAATTGAAAGAAGCAGCACGGAAAATAAGCAGAGCAGAGATGCTACAGTGGTAGTATCTGTGGTTATGAGTAAGGACATTCTGGGTTCAACCGCAGGAAAGCTCTCAGCGACGTGCGTACCTGCTTCTGAGTATTTCGCGCGCTTTTATGCCATTGAAATGAGAACGGATCTTGACAGGCACTAGGCGGGTGATCATCATCGCCGCTGGCTTAGTGGCTCTATGAGGGGTGTCTTTGGACAAAAATGAGAAAAGAGTTTTGAAGCGCGAGCGTCTAATCTGTTAGATAATCTACGCATCTGGCGGCCAGCTGCATAGCGATCATCATGATAAAAGATGTGCTGACAATTATCAGAAAACATTTGATATCACTGTCGTACTGATTCCCGGGAATGAATATGAAAATTCCATCGCGACATTGCTTCCGTGATACTCCGATCACACGGCTTTGAAATCCAGAATACCAGCGGATCGAACGGAGAACGAGAAATTGATGTGACTGTATGTGGTTCATCAGTGCCTTGCCGCAACGACTCAATGCAGCCTACTTTCCACAGTGCAGTAGTCTGCTCCCACGATATTCGTTCATGAGAAAGAAAAGGTTTCCGCGCGACCGTCACCATTGGATCCTCACACCCATAATCTATTTCATTGAAATGATTTTTTACGAGCGAATGACTCCAGAAAACATCCAGCTAAACAGAAACTGAAGAGAAAGAGCAGGTGCATAATTCGGCCCACCTTGGGTCATTTGTGCAGACCAGCTTGGCTGCCACTCATACACATAGGGAAGTCTATCGATCGAACTTTCAACTGAATATCGGTGACCCATATAGGGGTGCGATTCGAGCAAGCGCCAGCCAGATCTGTCAACCTCGAGTCAGACTGAATAAACACCGTCACTCAGAAGACCACGCATGTTATAGATAGTGTACGATAACCGGTCCGCCTTTGCGGTGTGAATGAGATAGAACCGCCCTCCTGTCAATACAGCAAGTGCCAACATGACTGCAAATTGGCACCAAGAGAGTCGGCACATGGCGCATAGCACAAATGACCATGCTACCAGGAAAAGTAGCATTGAGACACGGCCAATATGTGGCATCACGACAGGTATGGTGTAGCGTTTCTGCAATCTGTCCCCTGCCTCGTCGCGAAAGTCTTGCGCATGGACGGTCGTCAGAACAATTAGAACGCTCATATATTGCGCTGAAACGACTCGTGGTGAGAACGCAGCGGAATCATCTTACAGAACCTGATGAGCTTGTTGACTGATTAGTGCAAGTCATGACTTACCTGAGCAAGCAATATATGTCGCACCAGCATCAAAAAGAGCATAGGCTAGGGCATTGAGAACATTGCGGGTGAACCAGTGCGAGTCTAGGAGACATTCATTGTGTAGAATCACACAAATTGAAAATATTGTGCCGATGGAAAAGACGCCATGTATCATGGAGAGAGTAAGGCAGGCAGGGAGAATTAGCCAACGAAGTGTTCTAGCTTGGGATACCGAAAAATGCCCGGATGGTATAGGTCACCAAGGCTTATTCAGGCGATCTTCGTCAGGAGAGAGGCTCTGGTTGGAAACACAGAATTGAAGCAGGTGCAACCACACCCAAAATGAGGCGTGCATGAAGCGTGTAGGTGTGGTATTCGGTACTGACGCGAGTGCGAATAAGAGCTTGATAATATATGTTCCTCATGAGCAATCTTGAAGCTATAACGGGAGTAGAAAGACATTACTGACGATGGGAAAGAAGATAGTTTTCAAATCAGACTTGGTGAAGAGATATATTGTATATGCGTGATGTAGGACTGTTTTCATCGACGCAGCAATGTGGGGCATTTTAGGATGCAGGGGCCTGTGATTTGCCTAGGTCTTCAGAAGGTAGGTGGGAGGGTCTGGGGCCTAGTATGCATATGGAAGGATATGCAGGCTAAATGAGCGGTGTTCAAAATGTTGCCGATGGGCTGTACTTGCTTGGACCGCACTTCACACTGGCTAGAGCTGAGCGCTGATTACTGATTCCATATAATAGTGGGACCCTCGCGCTAGCGCTCATCACCCGCGCCATCGAGCGCAGTGACGGAGGCGGCATTTTATGCCTGATTTCGTACTGAGCAAATGTCCATGAATAGTAGCAAAGTTGAGAATGATTTTAGTCTCACCCCAAGGCATGTCATACTTTGAAAAGTCGAGCTCGATGACCAGCGGACCTCCTTGTCATTGTACATACTTCTGGGGTCTTGATACGCCACCATGAAAAATCGATCCGTCAAGTTCGACAACAGTACCATTAATCAGTGTCAACCATTGCGACAGGTGTCATTCCAGAGCACCACTCATCGCACACATTGGCAAGGATACAGGTCACCCTGCCGCATCAGGAAAGCTCAAATCGCCTTGTGGCTCGAGAACATCTTTTTGACTTGTTCTCGCTGGTTTTGGCTTGTACAAGGCAATGAACGCACGATAAGAACCTTCCAGTCTGGAGAAAAGTCCAAAACAAGGAGGTCCTCTCGGACTTACTGTCTTTTTTTGGCGACAGCAAGCAAATAAAAGAATCATAAGCCGGATTTGAGTTTTCCTGAACTGTGGAGTCGGATCTACACTCTATAAGTGGACAAGGGAAAACGATCATTGTAGAGGAAGCCGGGCCGTTGCCGATCGCTTGGTTGACTGGCGCCTCTTGGATCCCGAGGCGAAATACTTGCGACTTGCGACTCGCGACTTGATATTTGGGAACTGGACCTGATCCTTACACGTCTAATTAGAATGTCAGGGCACAGCTCACAGCCCCATAACGCTTCACGAGAAGGAGCGCCCGCCAGGCATCAGGACTCTCATGCTCCACTAAGCCACGCTCTTCCTCGCTTTACAAAATTTCAAATTTCAACGTCAACTTCCAACCGTCCACTCATGGATCCGAAGGCGTCGGGACATCCGGAGCATTTGGAAGGGATCTCCGCTCTGCCAAATTGAAGATTCGCTCACTTCAGGGGCTCATACAGATGAACATGATCAAGAACATCAAATATTTCACATACTCATCATTTCTCCGTCCTCCGCCTACCTAGGTGGGCCAAGCCCCACTATTTCGAAGATCTGGATGGCAGTTGCACTCAGTGTCGCATCTATTTGGACCACATACTCGGTGATACTTCTCGTCACAGTTACAGAATCTATTTTCCCAATTCTACGTTCGGTAGTCCTGTTGCAACATTTCGCCTCAGTCCAATCATGACAAGAAGCCACGAGGTGCGTTCATATGGATATCTCGAGTCTTGCACAGCTTCCACCAAATGCCCATCAGCTAAGCAATGATATCTTTACATTCTTAAAAGGGCGAACATTCCGGTGCAATTGCCCGCACACCACCTTTGCTTGCCAACATGACAGGACTGAATCTACATCTGAATAGCTCCATGGGCTGCTTTTTCATTGGCATCCTGCTTTCCATCATGTAGGCACCAGTCTATCATCTTATGGTGCATCTCGTTATAACCATTGAACATCTTCAGACTCTATGGATTGACCTGCGCTCAAGTTCTGTACTATATTTGGGAGTACCCCATCGATAGTCGGAGGATCCGATTACTAGTACGTAACTATCACTTGCCGCGACAGGCTCCTAAGTCATTGCCATTTATTATTAGGTTGCTCTGTTATGGTATGTCTGGTGTGCTGCGGGAGCAAACGTTCTTCTGCATCTCATGCCGTCGGTAGGCTGTTCGACACAGCAACTACCATCACGAATAGCCAAGTAAATGAGCAGATAAACTGACCGCAATGTGCTCAACGTTACCCGCAGATTATTTGGCACTACTTGATTCAAGGACATGGCAATGTCCTCAGCCTTACTTCACTTGCACTGTTCGTACTTTTCGATATAAACTGCTTATTGCATCTAACAGACTCAATATAGCTCCTGCGAGGTCTGCAATCAAACAATTCATGCAATTACAATGCTAACTCACGCCTACAGATTGAGTTTGTATTTGCGGCAAGTAGCGATGCAGTTTGTTCCATGGCTTTTTAAAAACAAATCCATGACGTGATAGGCCATAACCATTCTGGTAGTTCAATGGTGCGATTGTGGTATTCGGCTTTTATGAGTTGCTCTAACTCTTTATGCATAGCTACTACATGCATCAAAGCTGAGGATGTGAGTCCTCGTACATCACGCCTCATTCTGCTTCATAAAATCTGTGCAGTGCTGAGAAAGAAATGGTACAATCTCCCCATGACAATCGTAATGGTCTGTAGCCTCTTGTCATCTGCGCATCGTGTCAAACTGACAGTTCTGTAGGTCCTCACGGCTGTCGTATCTTGCGGTAAGTCAAGACGCCAGTCTCAATGACATTCATGCTGACACTGGCATTCCACAGCATGTGGAATGTGTACGTACGATGTTCATGACTCTCCATGCAGCTAATCCGCGTCACACCCAGGGAATGTGCGCTTCGCGTGAGTAAGATTGGAGTCTGATAGTGATAAGCTATCGCTGATTGTGCCCCAGAATCCAGATCCCTAAGCTCCCGGACGTTTTCACTCATACGAAGGTCCGCAAGGGTAGCCATTGTCTTGTTGAAATACTCCACTGATTTTGAAATAGATCCCGGGTACAGTGCAACCTGCATTCGCATTAATCACAGACATCTACATCACTGTCACATTGATCTGGACCTTGAATGGCGAAAAGACGGGTTTCGAGCAGTGGGTTTCAACGCATCCTGAGCGCCCTAATGCTTATCCCTACATCATTGCGATTGGTTTGCAGTACCAACATGTTGATCAATAGACTCATGTTGTATGCAGTGAACCGCGGCATCGTGACCGCGTACGTTGAGACCTACGCCATGTTCTCTACCTATCTGACCACCATGCCATTAGGCTCGTCCAATTTCTGCACTTTATCACAGTGAGTTTCACATCAGTGCCTTTCGGGGGTTAGTTCATGCGCTCCCTTCCAGTATGTATCCTGCAGCGTTGATGTCTATTACTGGGCACCGTTCCACTACCCGGGTAGTAAACGTACGTGATTATACAGCAGATCCCCCTCTCCTAGTGTCAATACTGAGATAGGGTCATATATAGTCTACGTCAACTCGGCAATCGCTATGTGAGCCTGACATTGCCATCCATTCTGACGATGTCTCCTGACCATAGACCCGGACGGCAGACTCAACGCGCATCACTACCTGCGTTCCAATGGCAGATCGTACCTTTCGACCGGTTTGTATGTGGAGAACATCCCGATGAATATGCTGGACAGCTCAGAAGATGGGTCTCCAAAGAGACTATTGTCACGGTGTGTCCTGCATTTGTTGTGACAAACGAATTCAGGCCGACTCCCTGCGTGCCAGCCGTGCCAAGCGTTCGGAAGCTTCCCCGAAGACCGTCATCTTTCTCTCATCTGAAACAGTCCAGGACAGTGGCGTATCTGGTGGTGTCAGCGGTCCTCCTGCAGCGACTGATAGGACAAATTTTCCCGGTCGGGCAGTGGATGAAGAGTCGCTCCATCGTTGACGAACATTAATGACGCTCGTGCTTTTGAACCGGCATCAAAAGCGTATAAACTACGTATGGTGAGAAGGTCTTATGTACAACAAACTGGGCGACAGGCTCACGAAATGAGGGAGTTGTGTATGTCGCATTCAGGATATCGTGCATGCCTCGACTCAATGTTCGGCGTACTTATGACTCGGAATATCGGCTGTTCTATCTGATTTGCATGTTTTGATTCAAGGGCTATCATGTATGTTATGCTTTTAGGAGACCGTCTGCAAGGGGTATGGTTTCGGGAATATGATATCTGCTGTATGTTATCCCTGTGACGTTTTGCAGATATTGTCTGGAACGTGCTAGCCACCGCAATCATACATGAGGCCTTGAGGCCCTGAAGCTTGAAATCGTGACAGGCAAACATCATGAGGCTACATAGGCCCTACATAGGTCCATAGGCTAGCAAGAGCGAGGAGTTACGAGCCTGAGTACGACTCCCTAGCCCCGATATGTGCCTGAGCCTGACTCAAACTCAGTGAGCCAGGTACCATAGTTCGGGAAAAGTCATTACTGCATTTCTCATAGGAGGCGAAAAAACTTAATAATAGAGAAACTCTCCACCATGCTCAGCTTTGAGCTGGTAGATTCTCCAACTAGGCGCAGCCGCGCTAATGTCCACTCTTACATAACTGACTCCAGTATCCCATGGAGACCCCATTAAAGGCTCATATCGACAGGGAGAACTGTTCGCCCTAGCCTATGGACAGCAAGATGTATCATTAACAATGTCACTGGGGCCTAGATGACTACAGTGTGCATGGCTACGGACTGATCAAGCTCGTACGATTTGGACAAAACAGTTACTTCAGCGTAGGTTTCGTTCGGATTTCAACGATCGAAACGTGAGTTCGGCCGGGATGAAGACGATAAAGACTCCCGGAGCCTTGATGTATTCAGCTCTCTAAGAGGGATCCCTTCGCCTGGTCGGCTGGTGAGGAGATACGTGTTTCCTCCACGTTTCAAGTAGTGGCGGGCATTTAGGCTACACCATACCTCGATATCAGCATACGGTCCGAGGCTGCATGCACATAATCATCACGTACAGAGCCAGCATCGAGTTGACATAAACTGTGCAAGTGATCAGACCCCACGTGAGTTAGCATCTCCATTCACGGTACCGGCCGCTTACTCTTGTTTCCCGGGAAATGGAACACAGCCCAGTAATACACGGACGCGTTGAAAGCAGTGTACTTGCGAGGCCGTCAGTTGACATATGACTGCAGCCCGCTTGACATGCATACCATAATAAATTGCAGAATTTGCACGATCCTGTGTGGGGTGGTCTCGCCGATGCATCATTTCACTTTCAGCACGAGGCAGTACGGTACTCACACAGTAAGGATGCCGCAGTTGATGGCATATACAGTGAGCTTGCGCACGAGACTCTCGGTTCTAGAGAGGCTTCAGGGATACCGTGATGGGGAGGCTGCGCGTAAGGAGACGTACGGTCCGAATGACACTGGTTCTCTGTTCAGAGCCCACGTCATGAACACCGTAATGAGTACGTCCGTGACGGAAGCCGATAGCGTCTGCAGCGACGCGGGGACCTGCAAAGATGTTCGCGGAAAATGGCAGCTGGTTCGGATTGCATTGCACACCTTCATTTTAACAAACACAATGGGTATAGCTGGAACGTGCACGCTGAGAGAAAAAGGGTTTTAGCTGCTCTCCCTGTCTGATAATCAAGTCTCTCACCCAAGATATGCGCTTTCTAAGCAGAGATTGAGTGATATCATGGTAGCGCACTAAAACGACACAATTGGACGTACCGCAGGTGCATGCTACACGAGCATGGTGAGTAGAGCAGCCTGCTCAGAATTTAAGGCTAATTCGTACCAAACAAAATAATGGCACACAAAATCTGCACCACGCGTTGTTAGCTTCCATCTCCCTCCGAAAGGCACGCGGCGAATGGACTCTACAGACCATCAGACCGATGGCTGGGACTTTGAACCATTTTTCGCGAAGTACTGTAAAGCCCATGAATTCAGAACACGGTGAGATCATTTGTGCAAACATGAAGCGTACACTTCCACACATTGTGTACGTAGTAGCTTCATGAAATGTTGCTCAGGATGCTGTCACTTTAGACAGAAGATGAGACGTACCACTGAACAGTGAGGACCGTAAACCCCTGTTTTAACATGACGATTGGGCACGGGTGGAACTCGGATGTCGCGATGTACCTACCGCGATTATGTACTCTGCCTGAGCAGACAGTGAACCAGTCCGTTATAGCAATGATAGAAATCACCTACAATGGCAATGCTGTATCGTAGGGTGGCCGGTCGTGAGCAAGTCAAACTGAGAAAAGAACAAAAACGTAACGCAGCGCACCGTGGCAATGATGTGACTGAGGCTATATCGGCATGGCCTGTGATTAGGTAGTCCCAGACAAGCTATAACAATACGAGCATCAGTTCTTAGCTTTATTGATCACTGACAGGGACACGCTGACATGGCTGTCTATGATCGTTGTGACTGTATCCAGGATCCTGTTCGCGGTCCCAAGCTATGGATTACTGCTCTTGCCAAGACGACTTCGTGCTCACCATAGAACTGCAACCTGTGTGTCTGTTATTATCTCGCCATTCGACCGGCTTATCGAAAGCAATGTTCCCCGCTCACCAGTGTTTTTAGCTGCAGCGTGTCCTCCGGATAGTGTCGTACATAGTATAAAGCCTGGGCGCAAGTTATTCCATTGAATCTGTGTGATTAGCCAGCCCTTGAGTCATCCTGGTCCTGGGAGACACTAGCATGCATACAAAATTGCGAACAGAACGCCGATGAAGTAGCAGCCGAGGCTGGTGTTGAGCTCAAGGCGTGCTTCCATCTTCGCTATATCGTGGATGGCACGCCAGACGGCTCATGACAGTACGAGCTGCATATTTATATCGCGGACGAGCGTTTGATCACGCTGACAACCGCATACACCATGATTTCAGGACAGGGTAATATCCGTCAACCTAAAGTGCGCACAAAATGGGAATAATATCTCCGAGATATCAATCAAGAACTGACGGCAGGCTCACTCAGGAGCGATTGAAAGCTCGATGTGCTGGTCGTTGATACGCAAGTCACTTGGCGAACAGCGCCGGCAGTCCATAAAACAAAGGTCTCATCGATATAGATAAGGGAGAGGCTGCACGTAGAAAGCACTCATCCACGTTGTTGATCGCTTTGTATTCAGCCGGCGGATCAAGGTTTCGCAGACCAAGCAAAAGGCCTTTGCAGCGAACTGTTCATTCCTGTGCAAGGAACCTGTCAAGAACTGACACCCATGCGGTACAAAGGATCTTACATAGCTGTTCATCAACGCTCATCCATCTGCTTCACGGCTACATCTGTCAGCACACGCCTTCTGATTGAGAGAGTGGCCGAGAGCACATGGTGTTATCGCGGCATATCGAAGGTCGAGATCATAGGTTGTACGTACATGTACTACTCAGCGGCAGAATGGCGCATACAGTTTACATAATAAGCATTGAGGTTAGGCTTGTCTCAGTATCAAGAGAATGCTCCGTCATAGTAAAAGCTTGCACGATACAGGAACATGTGCGCGACATTATTTCCATAGCGGTAGAGCGGAGAGAACGCCACGTCCAAAAGCACCGACAGATGGGCTTTCCGGGGTCACGTACTGATGTTCCAACGCATGAAATTCCGAGACTTGCGTCTGCAGATTCGGGAAGACAGACTCGGCAACCATCACGAGAAGTATCACCGAGTATGTGGTCCAAATAGATGTGACACTGAGTGCAACTGCCATGCAGGTCTTCGAAGCAGTGGACTTTGGCCCACCTAGATAGGCGGAGGACGGAGAAATGATGAGTACATGAGATATTTGGTATCTCGGTTCGAATAAGGATCATGTTCATCGTGAGTGAGCGGCTAATCGACTTTTTGGCAGAGCGGCGACTCCTTTCGGATGTCCCGACGTCTTCGGACCCACGATCAAGGGGACGATCAATACGGCACTTGAAATTTTGAAGTTCCATCTGCTTAGTGCATGCCCGGCAGCGCGGCGTTATGGGGCTGTGGCATGCGGCCATGCGGCGGCCTGTGCGTTGCGAGTCAGGACTCGAGAGGCGCCAGTCAGCCGAGCGATCGGCAACGGCGCGGCTTCCTCCACAATAATTCCTCGTCCAGTGCACAGGATGACTCCAGGGCTTATGTACAGGAACGATAAGGTAACTTTATGCGACTACAAGATGAAAGATGCCCATAGAGTGCAGATGAGGCTCCAAAGCAGGGTGACTGTACCCTTGCGTGCGATGAATGGCGTTCTGGAATGGCACCTGTCGCAACGGTTGACACTGATTACTTGACAGATCCATTTTTCATGGTGGCGTGCCAAGACCCCAGAAGTATGTGCAGTGACAAGGACGTCCGCTCAGAGCCTCCGACGTCCGCTCGTCATCGAGCTCGACTTTTCAAAAGTATAACATGCTTTGGTGAGACTAAAATCCTCACCCAAAAATTATTCATGAACATTTGCTCAGTACAATAACAGGCATGCAACATCGACTCCATCACTGCACTCGATGGCGCGGGCGATGAGCGCCACGGCCACCAGTGCGTTCAGTTTCAGGGGTCTCAAGCACAAGGAGTATGACGCTTGCAACTTGAGACTTGGGAATTTGACCTGGTCCTTCTCGACAACATCACTTCGGCAATCGCGTAGGATGCGGCGTGCACGTTCCAGTGGTCCTGCTTGATTCTTAAACTAAGCCTCACCAGTCAACGGCCGCTCTACACGCTTCCTCCGTAAAGGACTTCCAGGCACTCTAAAGTCTACTCTCCTACCCTCCCGTCGGCCTGTCTATAAGAAGATATTCGCATCCCGGACAACGAACGCATTTTCCGCCGCATTCTAGCATGTCTTTCAAGGCTCTCGGGCAGTTCACTCCCATCGAGGATATCCCCCTGGTACGGTCAATATATGCGATGCATCGTACCGTGTAATCATTTTTGACCACGCAGATCCACGAACGTCTGCGCAGCGGATTCCGCTCCGGAAAGACAAAATCGATCGCATTCCGCAAAGCACAGCTTCTCCGGCTCGGCCACCTCATCCAGGACAACATACAACGATTCAAGGATGCGTTTGCTGCAGACTTGGGAAGGTGTGGCGAAGAGGCCGAATGGTGAGCCGCTCGACCCTAGTGCTCGGCATCGGAACAATTGACGCCATACAGCCTTGAATTGAACGGCACGCTCATCGAAATCAAGATTGCATTTGACAATGTCGAGAAATGGACAGCGCCGGAGAAGCCGCCGTTTTCTCTGTTCTGGTGGGGCATGTCGCCTACGATTAGGAAGGAGCCGAAGGGGACCGTCCTGATCATCAGCCCGTTCAACTATCCCGTCTATCTGCTCCTTTGTCCTTTGGTATGCGCTGTTATCTAATTCTGGAATGTAATTGACCAAGCGGTACAGGCATCCGCGATCGCCGCTGGAAACACCGTCATGCTCAAACCATCGGAGTTGACCCCGACAATGACGAGCCTGTTCGCCGAGCTTGTGTCCAAGTATCTTGACCCTGACGTGATTCGAATCGTCAACGGCGGTGTCCCGGAAACTACTCGGGTGCGCATCACTCAGTCACTCGCCGTCTATCGATTGACAGTTACAGCAGGTCCTCGAGCTCCCGTTCGATCACAGTAAGTTGCTAAGATCAATTATACTTTAGACTGATGCTACAATCTCGTCCAGTCCAGTATACAGGTGCGAACACATGCTACATTCCCGAACCGCTCGTGAACTCGCACTGTGGCAGGTAATGGCCGTGTTGCCCGGATTGTGATGACAGCAGCCGCTCGACACCTCACACCCGTAACGCTCGAGGTCTGTCACCATGCGATGTCCCATCCTCCGCACATCGCTCACCATTCTTCTTCGTAGCTTGGTGGTGCGCCCATATCACGTAGTCCTGTCATGCCACCGGTCCAAAATTGCTTTTAGGAAAGAACCCGTGCTTTATCGATCCGAACTGCGACGTAAAGGTTTCGGCAAAGCGGATAATGTGGGGCAAGCTGGTGAATGGAGGCCAGGTAAGCACACCGCTCCGACCGCGCATACAGGCGCGGCTCACGACGTGCCAGCTTTGCTTGTGTCCAGACTACGTCCTCGTCCCAGAGAGCTTCCAGGACATCTTCGTCGAGGCGCTCACGAACGCGTATGTGCTCCGCAGGACCATAGACTCACGTCTGCTGACGCGCATGTCCAGATACAAGGAGCTGCACCCGACTGACCCGCGCACCTCCGGGATGGTGACGCGTATCGTGAACGAGCGCCACATGGTGCGCCTGAAGGGTCTGCTGGACGCTACGAAGGGCACAGTCGTGTTTGGTGGGGAGGTCGACATGGCGGAAAAGTATATCGCACCGACGCTTGTGAAGGATGTAAAGGGCGACGATTCACTCATGAGCGAGTGCGTGCCCGCACTTTTGACTTGAGCGTTTCGCTGGCTGATATCCGTGATTGAAGAGAGCTGTTTGGGCCGATCCTCGCCGTCGTTCCTGTCAAGGACCTCGACGAGGCTATCGCGTTCGTCAATGCACGGTACGTCTGGTTCGGTACATGTTCCGGCGCATTAACGATCATTTCCCCAGCGAGAACCCTCTCGCGATCTACGTGTTCACGCATAATGCGAACGTGAAGAAGAAAGGTGTGTTGTCCGAAGGTCTTATCACGTTCATGTGCTGACCACGAGCTCTTGGCCTTCCCAGTTCTCGACAACACCCGTAGCGGCACGGCCTCCGTAAATGAAGTGATCATGCACTGCCAGGGTGAGTTGCCGACGCTACGTGGAGCATTCGCAAGCTGAGCAGCACCGCCTAGCGTACGGCATGCCGTTCGGAGGGATCGGCGCCAGCGGTAGTGAGTGCATTGCTGCGTCGTACACTGGCACAATGCTGACGACAACGTCTCACAGTGGGCTACGCGACGGGTAAGTATGCGTTCGACACGTTCACACACCTACGAAACACGGTGGACAATCCATATTGGTCAGTTGGTCTCCTCATTGTTGTGTGCTCTCGCGATGACATGCGGCTGCGCTGCGCAGGACCGACTCGACGGTGCTGTCTGCACGGTACACGCCGTACAAGGTCAGTCACATTCGTATACTATAGGACCTTCGATGATGGCTGACTCCGCAATATGTAGCCCGGCCCGCTTTCGTGGTTCAACTGGCTGCTGCGTCCCAAGTTCCCTGCGTTGCCTCGTGAAAAATAGGCGAACGATGGGCGATTTTCAGGCTCGCGTGCATGCGGACGCCACACAAAGACGGGAACATGCAACTCTGGTAAGGGACTACGTAACGAAAAGATCATAGAATCAAGGCGGGGTCTGGGGAGTCTTTCTGGTCACATCTAGGACAATATGCCAAGGTCTCATTTGGTTTGTCGGTAGCGAGTGCGGTCTATGCAGGTCGCGTGCAGCATTCGTTCTAGAGGTGTGATTTGGGTCGTCATGAACTCAGAATGTGCGTTACAGCGCTCCTGTGCCCAGCCTCGCAACATCGAGCGAGCAGGGTATGTGAATTATCGAAGGTACCCGATTGTCGCACTCGTATCTGGAGGCTATCTACCCTCCTTCCTCCCTCAAGCCTTCCTCCCAGAGTCGTCGTAATTTGTGTTGGTCAAATCATATTGACGGAAAGTATTATCACTGCAAAGAACGAAGGGAGACGGCACTTGGTTCGCTTTGGTGCAATCACCGCGGTCGCAAGGTGTACCGATATAGCGCTGGGGATGGCCCGGTTTATGCTGGTGAAACTATGAACTCAACCCAATGATCAGCCGCCACTACTGGAGTTCTACGTTCATATCGGACGATCGTTAGAGGCATGGTGGACACAGACGTAGTGTAGACAGTTATACGCCACATCAAAGCGTGAATAAGTACGACACTGTGGAAAGGTCTCAGATGATGAATTCACAGGAGGTAAGTAGGACTTTGACGTTAGCGCTGAGACTCATTCAACCCCATCGACATCCATGGAAATTTCTTACAACGTGGATAAGTAGAACAGATGGTTCGGCTAGAAGACGGAAGGTGAGCACGTAGCAGTAGAACTGCTGAACGGATCACAGTCACTCGGGATGTTGACAGTACTCACTCAGCCTTCCGATCGAGTCGTGACTCAGTGGTTCAAGGAGGTTGCTCGCATAGAAGCGACTGAAGACAAGTTGCCGCTTTGATCAAAATACTTAAGTTTTCATTCTGCGACGCGGCCTCAGGTGCGAGCAAGGTCACGGTAATATTTCATTGTTTGCACCGCAGGATTTCTACAACGTGCACGTCTTGGGAGGCGGCGGAGGTGGCAGAGGAAGCTGTCCGCACCATGGGAAGACGAATGACTCGAACTGAATCCCCAGAATGCAAGGCTCCACGTTCTCGGCATGACGGCGGTAGTGCTTGCTGCCGAGAAGCAGGCGCGAATGGCTTCGGCAGTAAGGTATGCGATGATGCTATGGTCGTGGTGTGGTTGGTAAGTACTATGCAGCGAAAAAGACAGGACACGAGAATCCTGATGATAGGCAACTGTACGCGGGAAAATACGGGAGCCGCATTAGTATTCGTCAGGTCTCCTGAATGAGACCGGTCGATGTCTCATTCCTAAGGGCATGTGCATTTACAATGTATGAGGTCTGAGGGTAGAATATTTGTCCGGAGGCTGTGTGTAGACGATCTGCATCTGGACGCGAGATATCAGGCTGGCAATGTTCCGGTCGATGCGTGTATCATACAGAGTATTCCAAGTTTCCCTATTCCTGGAGAGGGAAACGGTAGCTCAGCCACAGGCCATTGACTGCTGGTCTTGGCGGACAAGTGAATTCCAGCTGCCACGCACCCCGCGAGCCACGCAAGTAGACGCCCGTATTTGAACCGCGTCGACGCGCCTTGGCCTCCTTCCTCACGCCTTTCCCTCGACCACCACCACAAGTGTCTGCCATCCATAATTCCCCTCATCCTGAAACATATGTATGAGTGACAACTCTTTGTGTGCGCACAATAGCTTACTGACCTCCATCCCGCTAGATCTGTTATGGTTCATCCACAACATCCAATACTCGACCTGTACAACATGATTTTGGATCTCCTACAACGCGCATGTGCAGCTGTGAAGAAAAAGTTCTTGCGCAGCCCAGGGCAAGGTCGCCTTTCGGCACAGAATGAGATGAGCTATGCCCAGCAAGTTACCAGGGTCAACTGCGAGGCCAGCCCTGTGACCCCACACATAAATACGGTCGTAGAGAAGAACAACAAGTTTGTGAGTCGTTTATCCATCGGTTTCCATATTCATGTGTGGGCTCACCATAAATTACACACTCATCGCCATCGCACCAGTCGAACATCCTCATTCCTGCCACCTGCCAAGATGGTAAACGAATGAATCGCGCGACATCGCATCGACGTATTCACTGGCCGATTACGAGGGTATGGTGAGTCGAAAAGGAACCTGCGAGTTGTAGCATGCAGTGTTTACTGTTGATGCAGGATTACAGCAATAACTCTTACACACATCTTGAAGCCATACAGGAGGAACCTTGCGGGTACTGGATTGCAGGCTCGCTCGCGTACATCGAGGATTGGAGTTATGATGAACGGCTAGAACACAATGCGGCCGAACAGGATGTAGCGGTACGAGCCGAGTGTGCCACGCCGACGGTGAGTGGCACACATGCATGGTAGACTTTATGATGGGGGGCTGACGCGACCCAACAGGACAAGACCTCCGTCATGTGTAATGCTGGCCACAAAAGCTCTGCAGCGAAGGCAGCAATAGAACACGTTTCCGGCATCGTCTCGGACGACTCTTCCCCTCCTGTTACTCCGAGGTCCCTACTGTCTGGTGTCCCCTACACGCACGAACGCATCGATGTGAAGACAGGATACGCAGACGTCACGGTCGCCGAGCAAGCGTCGCTGACATCGGTGGATCCCCGTTCGTTCCGCAGTGAGATAGACCCTACAGATGTCGACAATGCGGCTGAGACGCCCAGCACCGACATCGAGCGCTCAGCCTTCTCGGTGATCACCATCCGCTTGCATCTTGGAACCCCTCCCCTGCAGCAGGGCGGCAGCGAGGAAAAGATTGAGGAAAGCCGAAATATCGAAGCTCCGCGAGAAATATCCCCGGCAGGATTGCAGTTCTATCGGGAACTCTTCGCACACTGGGCTTCACCAAGGAGACCTACTGACCAGCCGATCGCCAAGAAGCCCGACACAATGAACACGCTCGCCACGATGCCGAAGCTCCCCACGGTAAAGAAAAGTGCCGTAGCGAGAAAGCCAGGCATGAAGCTGAAACGTCGTCCTCAGTGGGGAGCGGTAGACAATATACCTATTTACGTCGACAAGGCTCGGGCATGGCGGGAATTCATCGCAGCGGTTTGGAACGAGTTGGCTGATGAGTACGATCTCCGAGGTGCTGCAGTACAGCCTATACAGGGAGAAGCCATGGAAGACGAGGTGCGTGCACGCAACCACAGAGGTGGAGATTGTTAGAGTTAACAAATAGGGAATGCGATATCCGTAGGAACCCGAGGTACTAAAGCACGATATCGCGCTTAATCAGGAAGGCATGGAAGACGCAGCCACAGACGACTCGAGCCATTCCACAGGTGGCCAACCTGCGAGGGGATCAGAAAGGAAGCCTCGACCAATGACTATACAGGAACGGCTGGAGCTGACCAAGAACAAGCAGCTTGCGTGCCTTGAGAAGTATAGGATGCAGCAGACTAAACCATGCGAGGGTCGATATCTCTCACTGACGCGTCAGGAGGCAATGCTTCACGTTCTCGGCATGATGATCGTCATGCGTGCCATCAAGAAGAAACAGACGCAGGTTGCCTAGAGGTCGCAGATCCCAGGGCAGCATTGCAGGCGAGCTAAATTGCGAATATGATTGCGGCGAGAATGAAGGGGTGGGGTGCGAGTAGTGCGAGTATTCCGGCAGCAGGAGGGTTCAGAGAGCAATCACAAGAGCAGCGCGATTTTGCGTGAAGGATGTCTAGGAGAGACTGTATTCAACTACAATGTCTCGTATGGAACAGCGCATGTACTCACAATGTATAGACTATTCGATTATTGTCCATTGACCAGGAGCTTGCGAGTAGACGCATTTGACCGCAAGTGGCCCAGCAGCTCTAGATGCCTTAGCGCCTAAAGACAACGTGTTCGCGCCGCGCATGTCTGCTTTGTCCCTCGCCACATCCATAGACGGATTTCTTCTCCGGCTGCCACTGTGCAACGATAACACAAGAGATGCTTCTCGCATGCGTTTTCATGAAATGGCGCTGCATCCGCAATTATCGTCACCGGATTGGTCGCCTTCATCGACGGTGAGTGGCGATCCCATTACGTTGCGCCTTCATGACTTGCAAGACAATGAATGCAGCGTAGCACACTGTCTAAGCAATCCCTGGCTGATGAAAGTGTCGACGACCGGAAAGCAAATTGCGTATGAGTTATATCTGCTAGCGCAGCGGTAGTGACGAATCTCGCCGACGATGCTGCTGATTGTTGGCGTATTAACCATGTCTGTCTTATCGTGCCGCGTTTGCATGCTGCTCCTCGCCTGCTTGAAGACTTCGGCATGCAGTTTCTGCGCTGTCACCAGATCCTATGCCTATCGCTGTCCCGGTATCGATCACCAGCCGGGATTCAACTTCATTTGACCTTCATCATTAATTGTCGACTTGCAAGAGGTGTCGCTCGCTCTTCACCACGATGTCCGTCTCATCAACGGATAGTGAACTACATAGTAAGTCAGTCATTCCGTGCACGAGCGATTAATAGTTCACATCACCGCACCTAAGAACGACTCGCCACTCGGACAACTCGCTGCTCATCCGTGCGTAGTCCTCATGGCCCTTCCGTGTGAGCAACCTATACAACGGCTCTTTTGATGATGAACCATCTACCTTCGCGGGCCAGTTCAACAACCGAGCCGGCCACAGTAGGAAGCGCCATATGTGTAGAAGCTGCATGCGAAAGCCAACATGTATTCTCCTGCAAGTTGTTCGCTCCTGGACCTCACTGGTGTGAAGAATGACCATTCGTGTTTGCGAGGCTTCAGCCGTCGCTGGACGATCCGATTCGGTTATCTAGCGAGCTTGCGTATAGACAACATCGAATCAGGGATGTCGTATGCGTCGATCCAGAATACAGAACGTTGAAGTCCTCAGTATACAAGCAGCCCATTCGCTCAGCCGATCTTTGGTGACGACGTCCGCATCCTGTCCACACAAGTAGTGAGTCAATATGGTTCGCATCAGTGACTGAGTGGCTTTAGCGTTCGGAACAGACAGTGCGATTTAAGGGTGCTCGACGAAATAAAGTGGATGGCAGCACGCAGAGCGAGCAGAGGAAATCCTGCGGCAGTTACCGGAAATCTTTTTCACCAAAACTCTGTTTCTGACATTTCCCTTTATATACAAGTTTTGTTATAAAAGCGTAAAAGATTCCGTGCCAGGAATGCCGCCACAAAATGGACGGCAGATATTCTGCGCCACAGGCGCGTCCGAGTCTGCCGGGTGTCTCTCGCCGCATCATATTGCGGCCACAATCCGATAAACTACAAAGAGCTAAAGTACAGAGCCCAGAACTATTCAGTATGTGTTGATTTGCGAAGAACTCTGAATTAAAAGCCGGACTGAGATATGTATTACCATCATCATCAGAGACTCTGGTATTCGTCAGGCCCGCATGGGCCACAGTCATTGGTCATGGACCGTCCGCACAGATTCCGGAAAGATCTTCACGTAACTCAACGCAGGACTACTTGGACAAGTCTCAACTCCCTCGCCGCCTGGAAGCCGCCCGTGTGACACGTGGATGACTAGCGTCCGTTCATACACGAGTTACGTACATGGTTATGTGCACTCTCTGGACCACAATGCCAAAGTCTACGATCCATCCGAACTCAATCTTCCGCTACACGCAGGTGAGAAAATTGTCTACATAGAGGTGAGCCTCTTAGGGGTACCACCCTTCGGCAGTACACATGCGATCATGTGTGCAGGGATCTTGTTGATGTCCTGCGTGAGAGAATGTGGACGCTACGTTGTGCACATACAGTGCCCCAACATTCATATTAGGTTTCACGACGCACGTGCGACACGAGGCTTATCAGCCGAAGGAATATCAGCCCAGTTCAATCTCAAGAGGAGCAGGCGTTCTTCCCTTCCGTCCCTACTTCCTCATGTCAGACCGCTCGAAAATTGACCAGAAAGTCCTGCGGCCAGCCGCCTCACCCACCCAGCTACGGCGGGACCCGAAACGAGCGGCGTCCCCATTCAACAAGAAGAGCGCCGACATCATCATCCGGTCAGCAGATTGGATGAACTTCCACTGCCACAAGGCGGTGCTCACTCTAGCATCGCCAGTATTCGAATGCATGTTCCATCCCCCGCAGCCGATCGCAACCGGCGTAACAGACACCGATTCAGCAATAGGCGTAACAGACGTCGATACAGCGACCGGCTTGCCGATTATCTGTGTCACAGAAAATAGCACGGCGTTGGATGGTCTTCTGCGTTTGTGTTATCCTACGCAGAATCCTGTCCTTCAAAGTGCGTCGGAGGTGATAGAGTTGTTGGAAGCAGCACAGAAATACCGAATGGTTGAAGCGATCCGGCACTTGGGCGATGCGCTGAGCGAATATGTGGAGAAGTCTGCTTTGCAAGTCTACGCAGTTGCATGTCGGTTCGGCATGGAGGAGCTTGCAAGGAAGGCGGCTGCTAAGCTCAAATCACAGGAGACGATCACGCAGGTGCCAGAGATGGAGCATATGTCCGCTGGTGCTCTCCATCGACTTTTCCAGTTTCGCAAGCCGAATGTGCAAGATCCTGCTGACCGCTTCACATTCTGTCGTCCGGCGTTAACTGAGACGCTCCAACTGGTAAAGACCACGACAGGTCCTGTCGCGGCAGAACCCTTCATGCATCCCTCCGCCGACATCGTTGTGCTCTCTTCGGACGGGATCCGATTCCGCGTGTATAGAAACATCCTCGAACTTGCGTCTCCCGTCTTCGCAGATATGTTGAGGAATTCTGGAGCTAGCGACGGTCATCCCGAGCCGAGCACAGAGCTACCACTCGTCCGGGTCGCAGAGGATGGCAGGACAGTGCATGCGCTTTTGCAATTGTGTTATCCAATGGAAGCCCCCGATGTCGAAGGGTTCGATGCCGCGCATGCACTTCTTTCTGCCGTCAAGAAGTACGGGGTCACATCCGCGTTAGCATGGGCGAAGCGGTCGTGGGTGGAGCAGATGAAATCTGATGCATTGCGAGCTTGTTTACTCGCCATGCAGATGGGATGGGAAGATGAAACAGAGGAGGCGGTTCGGCTTCTGCCCACTAAGGACCACCAGTGGTTTCCGGAGATGGAAAGTATCCCAGCATCGTACTACTTCATGGCGTTGGAACGGCGGCGTAACCGTCCAAGATCCCTTCCAAATCTCTCAGTCACTAATATGATCGTCACCGTGGTTGTATTGATGTTCATTCTCGTGCTTTTCAGCCCGTCGACCCCAAAGCCGCATTAGTGGGACACTGGTCTGTAATCTGTATCTGACAATATATTAGGTGTGCCGCATGTTCGTGGCATTGTGCGCTTGGCTCTGGATCACGAAACTTTTGATACATGATGCATGATATATAATATAAATATGTCAGCATCCTTGATATCCCTCCGCTGGCAATAACTTGCTTCATGATCTTGCCGCCGCTCCACTACACCTGGCGGATTAAGAGACCTGAGGCCTGCCTGAGGAGTCGGAACATTCGCATTACAAAATAAAGCAATACTTTCACAGTACAATCCTTGCAGTCATTTCCGCTTTAGTTGCTCTCCACTTCGTAGGCATCGCTTCGAATTTTGCGAAGCCCCTCTTAAGCTTTCCCGCACTAGGTTGATGAGTGCGGCTGCGTTAATCCTTGCGAGGAAAAGACATTCGACTCTTTATCATCCATTGTGCTGCTAAGACTGCATGACTGACTCAGGTGTCCTAGTGGTATTAGCAACGAGAACAAGATGTTGCGTGAAGAAGCACACGTCTAGGTTGTGTCTAAGAGCGATTCTCCGAGCTGATGCTCGTGAAGCAGTGTGTGGCACTGTATGCAGAGCGCGTCTTCAGGTGAATGGACTGTCCAGCGGGCGAAAGTTGGCCTCAAATCGACGTGTTCGCTAAAGTGTCAAAGTCATTGATTTACTAGTGACAGTTAACGTATAGCAGCAACCGGCCACAAGTTCAGCCACAGCTGTATAGGGCGCGCGGTCACACGGGCCACGCGTCGACCATACCGCGAACAGAGGCGGCGGCGGACGTGTTTCAGACTCTTTCCGTTTGTCATGGCGGCTGCTCTGTCGATTGTCTCAGATTCGTCGTTCCGACTTCTGGTGACTCGGTTTAGGCTGTCAGAATCATTCAAGTGGCCCTGTCGACCCTGATCTGGCCAGATTCATTCAATCCATTCACTTCATAATGCGACCATCGCGCACAGAAACGAAGAGATTCTATAGTAGAAGACACAAAGATCAATGGCGTCGTATACATACCCCTACGTACCATCGTTCTCGACATGCTCTGGCCGTCTCACACAGCCCGGAAACGAAACAGCTCGCGAACGACGTCCCGCAGTAGTATTCGAGGCTTAGAAAAGCATGGGATCGGCCGCAGTGTCATGCGTAGATACTGGTGCCTCCTTCAAACGAGCCACAGCAGCCATGCAGTAAATGTCCTGCGTGGCCCCGGTGTCAGCGCAGATACCCTGCATCACCTTTGGCGATGTCTGTAGGAAAGGATCATGTCATGCGGTGAGTATTTGTCGAGTTTCGAAGCAGCATGTGGGACTCATCACAATTCTCTGCCTCTTCATAGGCCTCGGTCCGACAGGGGCCTGCCTCACTCGTTCGGTACGGGACGCGGTCGCTCGCAGAGCCCTTGATAGCCTTCCGAGGTCGGCATCGCTTGATTCCAATACTTCCACTTCCAATGCCGTCTGCTTAGTGATGACGATTCGGCCATCCACTTCATGACAGCCCCATAGTCCCTTTCGTAAAGCATAGGACGACTCAGGTGGCGGGATCGGCTGAGGCATCATCAGCCGAACGTTGTGGGGACCGTCCATGTAGGTCGTAGGATTGCCGGACCTGTCCATGAAGACCCTCGTTTGGTGCAGCTGGGAGGATGTATGAATTATCCGTTTATGCAAGAATCATGTGCGCCACAGGAACTCACCACGAACCACTTGCTCACATAGTTTCCGTCACTGTCAGTCCGGCTCTTCCAGTCCGAGAGCCTCTCCTCGAAACTTGAAGGCCAGTTTGGATCGTAGAATGGCCACAGAGGGCGATGGTCCCCGTCGACCGAACCCTGTACGCGTTGGTAAGTGCACAGAATAAAACGGACACTGATTGGCGAGCTGACGTACGGAACCGCTGTCCGTGAACGTTTTATCTTCTGCATTTGCAAGGGCGTCCGCATCAAATTCTTGCTCATCGTCGAACCACGAGTCCGACTCGTCGCTCCATTTGGTGGGGGATGCCACGACCGTGCGGTGATCGTCTTCCGGATTCACTAACGTGGTATTCCAGTCGCATTCCATAGGGCAGGTGACCATGGCTCTGTGGTATGGGCAATGGACAGCGAGGCTAGTGGCCCGAGAACAAAAGCAAACAGAAGTTCTGCGTGGCGAAGAAAGTGGTCGAGCAGGCGAAGATTGAAAAAAGAGCTGGGGTGCAACTGCCTTTATAATCGCGTCGGAGGTCGAAGTGCCACTCGAACCAAACAGCGCGAGTCGAACACGTTGTTGCAGGCGCCAACGCGTCTGTGGCGGCGGCCACACTTGCTCATGGATGCATCGCTTCGGGAGATCTCGGTAAGAAACTAATCGGTCATATATACTTTGTGAGCGATCTAACGCTACTTGCTACTGAGATAATGTAGTTGAAACAATATCCTAGAAAAATCTTCCGGACAGACGATAAAGCCCCTCTCCTCTTCCGGTTTCAAACGGTCACTCAAAACCAATGGCCATCCTCTTCGTAGCGGTACTTGTCATCCTCACTCTGGACATGGTCTTCCAGCACCATCTCCATCAATGGTGGTCGCGGTGAAATCCTCCCCGCCTTTTCCTCTACCTCCTTCCGCCAGGCTCTCCAGGCGTCCGTCTGCTTTTCCCAAATTGCAAAGCTCATGAGATCAAGGGCGCAGTGTGCCTTCGCGGCCTCTTTGATGACTCCCATGCGGAGACGGAATGCTTTGTCTTGCTCCTCGCGCCGCTTGAGACGGGCCATTCGCCGAGCGCGGTACTCTTCCAGAGTCTTCTTGAAGGACCGCTTCTGGCCAGTCTTAGAAGCACTTGACTCGCTGGCCTCGTTGCGTGCTGTGGCCTCAATCTTGCCCTCCTGGTCCATGCTGAGCTCCCACTGTTGCTAATAAATCATTTAAGACCCACTCACCAGTAATCCATCCACTTCAGAGCCTTCTGCAAGATGTTCGGCCTTACCCGCGTGCATGTGCAGCTGCTCGAATAAGGCAGCCATGTACGCCCGCCACGCCGTGTCTTCGTCGAGCCACGGACACGAAGCCATCAATGCCTCCGTCGCCAGCTGGGAGACGGCCTCTTCCATCGTCTCATCATTGTCTGTGGTCATCTTCGTCTCCGTCTCCGGAGTCGCATCCATCCCATCTTCCTGTCCGTGTCGCTGCGACAAACGCTCCTGGGCCCCATCGTCGCGGTGAGCTTCGTTGTATTTGCCCAGCCACCTGGCAATCTCTCCCGCGAAAGCTTCTACAGATGCAGGCTCTCCCTTTGATGAGACAAGTGGTTCCTTCAGGGGTGGGGCCAGCAGATGGTCAGGAATCGTGGCGTCAAAATGTCCGGTCTTCGTGTCACGGTCCAGGTGCGTGGCCGGGAAGCCGAACAGCGGGGAGAGCGGCGTAGAGAGGAGGTCTGACTGGTCGGAGTCAGTGTTGCGGTCCTCCGAGATGCTGTGTGCCTCAACCGGGCCATTGCTATCGATGTCGCCCTTAGCAATGCCATGATCCTTCAAGACGTGGGTTAATCATTGTGATACCTCGAGGCGAAGAGCGGGTTGTGTTGAACATGCCACTCACCGATGACATGACGGAAACCCTTTCTGAGATCGTATAATGCTTATTATCACCTTCCTCAACATGGTCATCGTGGTTCCAGCCATCGATGTAGGAAACAGAGACCGCAACTGAACCAGCAAGCGAAAGCTCCTCTGCCGATCGCAAGTATCCCTCGGTTCCATAGCCACAGCGCTGCGATGTGGTGAGTTCATGTCTCTGCAGTTATCAATGCTCTCCAACTTACCACAGGTGCATGTCTGAAGTGACTGTCCTTGTCGTCAACCGCAATGGCCATGGTCGGTGCGCGACCAACCAGGTTGGCGAGGGTCAACTGTGGCGTCCCCAAGAAACGCGCAGAATGAGCATCAATGACCGGTGAGCACACAGGTTATCACGGATATATGGTCGGGTAACTTACTAGGATGATGCCCTCGTTATCGTTCGTGTAAATTTGTCTGCTCACAGCCGCCTCGGAGTCGATGTAGCCAGGCCTCTCTGAAGTGGCAGTGATCGGCGGAGGGCCATGCAGTTCAGCGCCTGGTCGAATCCTCTTCTTCACGGCCATGCGGGCCCTTCGTATGGCCTTCAGGAAAAAGGTGAACATCGTCGCGAAGCAGGTCGAGTTTCAACGTCGGTGAGATGCGAGAATGGGATGAGGTAGGTTGAGAAGGCAGGTAGCTTTTGTGAGCGTGTATAGATGTACACAAGTAGTGTGCAAAGGGCGAATGTGTCAACGGTGAAGGGCACTCGTGATGGTCGAGGGGCAAGTGCGATAACAAAGGCGACGCGACGGAGTGGCTCATTTTGTAGGGGGCGCTTATTGTGCCTCGTGGCTGGTGGCAATGGCCCCAGCAACCCATCCAACTCCGATTCTCTTGGTATCCGACGCCATACGTGCAAGTGGCCTTGGTTCTGCAGATCTCTATATCATCCCGTTGGTGACCTCCGTAAAATGTGGTAGTTATTTGAGCAGGTGGTGCGTCCCCACTTCAGGTTGTCCTCAGGATCCGACTGAACTATGAGTAGACCCCGAAGCCCCTTCCCAGAAATAACTTCCTATGAACGAAAGTGGGTCATGAACACAGCGTCGAACGGTATCGCTATATCTTAGAGCTTGGGCCTAAAGCGTAATACATCTCCATGTCATTTTCCGCTAGACCGCAGAAGTCGATTCGCCGCCGCTGACACATAACCTCATCGAGAATCCTACGCGTGCGTGCGCTCATGATTGTACGCACGGCCGCAGCTCTCTGCCTCATTTTTTATTCCCGTCGTTAGAGACACTGTTAACACACTCGCTCTGCTTTTTCTTTGGGAGTAAGAAAACATTCCTTGGGCCTCTTTGAAGATACAGTAAATGTTGCAATGTTTTCCTTCGATAGCAACCTGCGCTGCAGACAATTTTTCGATTCAGATTCTCCACTCTGAAACTCATCATTGAGCTTTAAGGCCTGCCCCATTTGGCTTGGCTTTTTTCTGTCGAAGCGATGGCTGAGTTTGCTGAAGCGATTCGCTAAGGACATCTGTAGTTATAGCCCAAAGCCAAATCGTATGTTTTAGTAATTCATAATGCGGCAATGTACCTCGCAAAGTCTCAGTGACACTCTATTATCTGAGGCCTTCTCAAATTGAGAACCAGCATGTAATGACAACTGATTATACGCACAGCGAAGGGCAAAGTCCTGACCAGTTGCAAGGTATTAGTGCGATTTGTTTCCTCTACTGAGACACGATAACTCTGGTTTGATATATGGATGTGATGATGTGACCGGGAGGTCATCACGACTCCTTCGGAATACTGCGTCCTTGATGGGAAGCGACGAGACATCTTGACGTGTCGTTGAATCTTCCAATGTTCTCACAATTCAGATTGAGTCTGCATATGGGTTGTGCATAATTTCGTTTCCGTATGGTTCGGGGCACGTCCTCCATACATCTTCTCGTACTCGTCCGCAGTGCCGGTTCCGAGAGCTGTGCATTTCGATGCCCAAAACGCGCGCCACAAGCGCGTAAACGCCCGACGAAATTGAGCGCGTCGAGCACGAGATCGCGTCGCAGCCGTGCGAAGCGAGTAGATGATAATCTATATATTCTCTATCTACCGTAAAAGCGATCCTGTCGACGAAAGCTTCATGTATATACGATAAGAAGGCAATCTGTACGTTTGTAAGCACTTCAAGCGATGCGGCCACGTCTCGAAATTCAGCCGCAGCCATAGCGTAGCAAGGCCACAAGTCGCCACACACGCCCGTCCCCCAGGAGAAAAAGACTGCTTTCGTGCCGCTTGGTGAAGCCTTGTGCCGCTTTGCTGCCCATTATCCCGCTTCAATGCCATGCTAGCGGTAACTATAGAGACAGACATGTTGATGCGATGTAAAAAGTGACGCTTTCTTGACATAGCAATCTGAAGTGTGGACGCCACAGAGCCAAAGGCGGAATAAGCGCGCTTGAGGCGGCACTGAAAGCGGCGATTTACCCACGCCTCTCAGACACAGGCTCCGCGCGGTAATCGTCGACCTACTTTGACTGAGCCATGGCCGGCTGGCCCATCGATCCATCGTACGCATGCTATGAGTCCGTCGACAACTGTGTCTCCCTTAATCCTGTAGTTGTGCTGCAATACTGGACCAAATCGTCTTGATGGCGGTACGCCGAGTCCAATCCTCGATCGATCCGAGACAATCTATCCACCAAAACTGCAGCGGCACGAAAGAGAGATAGCTAACGCTGTCGTGCAAGTGTTTCCATCTATGTAACTGATATCCTCAATCCGATCAAAACAGTCTACGTCTAATGAATTACATCGCAGCTCAGCCTGGGAGTTCATCGAGTCAGAGCACCAGTACCTCAGACAGCTTGTGTCGCACCGTGGGCCATGCGAATGACCGGAGGCGATGCCGTCTCCCTGATTGGACTACTTCCGCAATGCTGCCGACGTGTTGCTTGGCTGGACCTTGCTGGACGAGAGCGAGGGACCGGTGACTGGCTTCTGTTGACCAGCAAAGCACAGTGAACTCGGTGAGTATTCGTACAAACATTGCACGGCTATGTGCAGAACTCACCGAGAAGCATTTAGGCCACTGTTCTGGTGTCTGCCTCAAAGGTTTCGTGACCGACGGTGCCCTGGAGGTCTGCAAAAATGAAGGTACACGTCCGGCGTTATCTGGCATATTAATAGTCCCCGGTTGTCTGGTGATGACGACCTTCCCATCTTCTTCATGACAGTCCCAATTGCCAAAGAGTATGGTGTCAAAGCTCTCACGTGGGTGGACAGGCTGCGGCATCATCAATGGGATGGCGTGCGGGCCTTTGGTGTATATTTTTGCATGGCCAAACTTGTCCTTGAATATGCTTTCATATGTCTGCAAAGGAACTGGTCATGCTACTACACAATCATGTACAATGGCCATAGAACTCACCACGGTCCAATAAGACACAAAATTGCCGTCATCATCCGTCCGCTTCACCCATCTCGACCACCCCTCTCCCAGGTACACGCCCTCAGTGGGCATGACCCAGGGAGATGAGGGACGACTGCCGGAATCATCCCAATCCTTGAGGTCAACAGTGAGTGCACAGGACAATACGGGCATTGATAGGTTGGCTGACGCACCGATTCGTCACTCATGCTCGTATCGTTTTGTGCTCTCATGAAGTCCATCGTCTGCTGGTAGTCATCCGCCGAGGCTGGGTCATCTCCCCAATCGGACCATTCGCTGGGGGATACAGCTTGCATATGCACATCTTCTCGAGGGTCCACTTGAAGGGCACTCTCTTCATCGTTCGGGGGAGGAGTGATCATGATGATATGGCGGTCAAAGAAGAACGAGTGGCAAGTGACCAGACAACAAAGGCGAACAATGAGAAGACAGCACACAGACTCAGATTCTATGCTCAGGGACTTTATCGCGCAAGCGTGCAGAAGAGCCGATGGGGGTGTTGAACAGAACAAACGGGTCGAGTATGGCGGCCTTAAATAGCCGTGGCCACAGTCGAGGTTCAACATGAGCCAAACAATGTGGCCTGAACACGTTGTTCACTTACGGCCAGACGTCTGTGGCGGCAGGCTCCACTCGCTTAGGGATACCTCCGGTCAAATATTATTCGGAGGCAATGGGCCATGTTGTGCATACATGGTACATTCATTTATTCCGGCCCGAATACTTAAGATATTGAATGTTGCTGCCTAGCGATTGGATTTCATGGCCGATACTTTCGCACTCCGGCCACGCTCAAGCATGTAGCCTGTCAAGGTCGTTCGCATTTTTTGCTTGGTCACTGACGTCTGGCCCTAGCGTGGATGGCGCACGTAGTCTCACCTCGCTTCTACTTGGGCCTAAGCCCCCTCGAGCCCTCCTGCTTATTACGGACGGCAAGAGTGTGAAGGGGAGTGTGAGTAGCCCGACGGCAGGCGAGTTTATGTAGAGAAAAATCCCAAGAGCCGCACGATATTACTTTAACGCTTGTGAGGAAAGTCTGCACAATGCGATGTCTCGTATGGGGGAGCACGTAACTCCCAATGTATCTAGTATCAAATTATTCTCCTGTGGCCCGAAGCGTGCGAGTGAAGGCGTTCGACTGCAAGTGGCCCAGACGCCACAGACGCGTTAGCGCCCAAAGACAACATGTTCGCGTCGCGCCTGAGCATTGCGTACCTGACCCTCGCCACAGCCATCGAACTTTCTCCTCGGACTGTCACCGTGCCACTCCATGCTAAAAGATTTTATGACTTGTTTCTGGGAAGCTATCAGGTAAAATTGCAGTCCGCGAAATGGTCCGCTATCGCCGACACCACTCGTCAGTTGTGTTTGATCGGCGAACTTGCAATATCGCATCCCACCGCTTTTCGAGTACGTGATAAAGCAGGTTGTAATAGGGGGATGGAGGATGAGGCGTGATCGGCCATTTGAACAACGACAGCAGGATGGTGAGCTTCTCCACTAACGTGGATCGTGTGCCGCGTACTGATTCTGCACCGCTGAAAACGGCACATCCGCTCCATGAAGTTTGCTCAGCTTCAACGGCATCACACCAGCTTATTTGAGTGCTATTACCACCTGTGGCGCTCATAGTATGGGGCAAACTGTGCAATGGCCGCCGAAGTCGATGTTCAATCGCAGTCTGTTCTGGTTCGGGCAAGAACGTACGGCCGGCATCTAGCTCATTATTCTATTTTCTCCCTCTCAACGTGATTATTCTATGTTCTGGTGAAGGAATACGTGTGAGTACGTCACTGCATCTTCCAATGGCGGTAATTTGTGTCGGTAATGCGGAAGTTCATAAACGGTTAAGAGGCAACCACCAAAACTTATTCCTATCTCACAGCTCACCCCACCTCTTGACATACACGGGGAACGGTCGTCATCAGGGCTGATTTTATCGTAATAGTTCGCATTCGGCGCTCTCGAAGAAATGAGCAAACGTGTGTACGTGCGAGCGCCTTAACCCAGAACTTCACATACAAGTAAGACACTGTCTTCTCTTCACTATGCCGTTGAATCCCCTCTTCATCTCGTACATCGTCGCGTGTGCGGGCGTAGAGCTGGAACGATGTTGTCGACTCAAGAACTCGGCTTTCATGCAAACGTTTGTAGGGCGACCATCATGTTCAAGCTAGGTCCAAGATTAAATAATGGAAATGTCCGTCGTCTCCCAAGCCAAATGGAGTTCGATAGGTAGAGGGGAAAGCCGGTCGTGCTAGCGCTACTATAGATAATGAAAAGCTCGAGGTACTACACATTACGACACATCAATAGCGGCAAAGAATAGCTCGAAAACTGAGACTAACAAATCACAGAGACGAGCCAGCATTTCATGAAAAATCACGTTTAGGGGAAGGAGAGCGTGATTTGCACAAATAAACGGGACGCGAAGAAAACAGTTAGTTACTAGGAGAAAGACAATGGCCGAGAACAACGGTTGCAGAATATACTCGTTTGGAAAAACAAAACTTAGGGAGTCATCGTTCTACATTAGTTATTCGTTCGAATTCTATGGCAAGCAGAGAGGTTCGCTTACTACACGTAGCTTGGATATCGCAAGGCTATAACTTATTACGCTATCCTGGGATTGCCGTTATCGTCCAGACCTAAAACGAACGTTCATTATAACCCCATGTCAAATACAAGTTAACGTACCCAAGGTCGGATTGGATAATATCCACAAAAGTCTACTGATTTTACTCATCGTATGCAGATTGGAACTGGACGGCCAGCCCAAGTGCTGCGCGACGGCGGCGGTGAACTGGACGCTCGAAGACATAGTATAGCTGGCGAATGATTCTGGCAGTAATCCTACTGCTCCGAAGTCAAAGAGGCACGTCCTCCCTTCGACATCGACGCCGAAGTTGCTCTCGTCCATGTCGGACTGCGTAAAGACCAGCCGCTCATTGCAAAGGCTGACGAGCGCTACTGGCGCGGACCTGGACGGAAGCCTCGTAATAGCCTAGCCCAAGTCATATGTTAGCGGATCGCGAACACTTAAGAAAATACAAGCACAATGCACCTTATTCAAGTACCGCTCGATAGCCTGGATGCTTGAGAAAGACAGAGGCGCCTTGTAGTTCTTGAATAGATGATGGCGCGCGCGACCGCTTCCTAGAGGGCCAATCCGAACACGGTCGGGAGGAGGAGTTGGAAGATCACGAAGCCACTGGATTGCCAGTGCCACCCTTTGGGAGAGGTCCGGGACTGGAGTGGGTGTAAACTTGATGTTCTCCATAACCATGTACGCCATCTGATCGTCACGGTGGAAGAATTGAATGACCTCGGGAACGCGTGGCGCGCTCATGTTGCTCTTTGCACACTGGAAGACGTACTTCTGCGTCTCAAATTCAGGGTACAGAGACTGGTAACTGTCGAATTTAACGAAGAATCCGTCGATGACGAGGCAACGTCTGTAACCATTCTCCCTCCAATGAGAGCGCTCATGTTCGGCGCAAGCGTGGATGATAGCGGCCTCGAAGGCGGCTGCGTCACCGGGCGTGGACGCCATTGCTGTGTTCCTTGGATTTAAGCAAGGGTAAGGAAGAGCAATATAAGGAAGGATACGTACGAAGATAAAAGATAATGGGCTATAAGGGAGAATACTAGGTTGAAAACAGAACACAGACGCAATGCTTTGGATGAAGACGCTTGAGTACTTAAAGGTTTGGAAGAGCGACAAAAGGATACGTACGAGGATGAAAGTCAAAGGAGAAGTTACTAACGGTCGAGAGGAGACGAAAGACGAAAGTCTATGCGCAGAGACTTTGTCGTGCAGGCGCGTGGAAGAGCCGATGGGGGTTGTTGGACAAGCGGCTCGAGTATGGCCGCGTTAAATAGCCGTGGCCGCAGTCGAGGTTCAACATGAGCCAAACAGCGTGGCCTGCACACTCGCGCCCACATGTCTGTGGCGGCGGGCTCCACTCACTCAGGGATGCCTCCGGTCAAAATATTCGGGAAAGGCAATGGGTCATATTACGCATGCATGGTACATTTATTTATTCTGGCCTGAATACTCGAGATATTGAATGTTGCTGCCTGAGTGACTGGACTTTATGGCCGATGTTCTAGGTCACACTCCGGCCCCCACTGTCAAGCATTTAGTCTGTCAAGCTCGTCCACACATTTTTTCCTTGGTCACTGACGTCTGACCTTAGGTGGCACGCGTAGTCTCACCTCGCTTCTACTTGGCTCACATCCTTCTCGAGCCCTCCTGCGCTTATCACGGACGACAAGGCTGTGAAGAGATGTGTGAGTAGCCCAGCGACGGTAGCCGAGTTCATTTAGAGAACAATATGATATTGCGTTAACGCTTGTGAGGAAAGGCAGCACAATTATGATGTCTCGTATGGGGGAGCAAATAACTCCCAATATACGTAGCATTAAGTTATTCTCCCATGGCTCGAAGCGTGCGGGTGGACGCATTCGACTGTAAGTGGCCGAGACGCCACAGACGCGTTAGCGCCCAAAGACAACGTGTTCGCGACGCGCCTGAGCATTGCGTACCTAACCCTCGCCACAGTCACCGAATTTTCTCCTCGGACTATCACCGTGCCACTCCGTGCTGAACGATTTTATGACTTGTTTCTGGGAAGCTACCTGGAAAAATTGCAGTTTGCGAAATGGTCGACCACCGCCTACGCCACTCTTCAGTTGGGTTTAATTAGGTTTGATGCCTTTGAGTGGCGAATTTGCAATATCGCGTCCTATCGTTTTTCGAGTAGGTGCTAACCTTACCTAACTAGCTGCAGCCACATCGCCCTGACAAGGGTGTTAAGGCTGGCTGTGTGCCAGAGGTCGGCATCGAATGCGAAGTCAACACTAAGAGACCCGACATTAGTAAGACAAAGGATGAGAAACAACAAGCTGGTGAGTCATTCAAATGGCAATTTCGTACCAACATCGGGGCTCACCACGTCGAAATCACGTTCCGTACGTTCCATGTCAGTCGGACACCTTTATTCCTCACACCGCCCAGGATGCGGTATTCACTCGATTGAACGACACTGTTTGCGCCAACGTGGAGGCTGATAATGGTCTTATTGTAAGCAAGAGATGGGCCATCGACGGCTACATATACCGTACTCACCATACACAACAGAAACACGGTAGCGGTCACATTATGACTCTCGAACCACAGATGGAGCATCAGCAGGAGGATTGGCCACGAAATCGATCGCCAGCATCAAGGATGGGCGTGGCTATGGGCAGCTCGAGGAGAATCCACTTGCACAAGACGGGGCGGCACCGGTCAAGGACGCCATGCTATCGGTGAGCAGCACTTCGTATGCGACAGATGCTGCGAGCGAGAATGGCTGATCTATGTTGGCAGGGCGTTGTCGATCACACATCTGACACTGTCAATGGCGAACCAGGGGAGAAGGCCGGCACGGATGAAACCTCCAGCATCGACTCGGATGGATCTTCTATTCTCTCCACTCCGATGTCTGTATCGGCGGGTTTGCCATACATCCATGGGGACCCAGACATGGTGGCAGGACAGGCGAACGTAGCGGTTTCCTCGCAGCCAATGCTAGCATCGGTGGATTCCCGTCTGCCGCCGGTTGTAGCAAACCGTGAACACAACGGCTACACCGTTTGAGAGGATGAGCACGTACACCAGGGTGTCGACACTGCCCACGCTCACCAGGCCACGCAGAATGTCACCGGTGGGGTTGAACTTTTACAAGGAGTACTTCAGTTACCTGCAGTCGGAGAAGCCGTTTGCAATGCAGCAGACCCCGAGGAGGCTTGCTGAGATGAGGGAGGCTCGTACGGCAAGGAGGGGAGCAAGAGAACTGGAAAGGCGTGCTCGACATGTGCCGGCGGACGACCTTCGGGAAGATGATGATGAGGCTCAGCTACGGGGGGAGTTCGAGCCGGCAGTCTCGGACGAGTTGACCAATGAGCGCGAACCTCAACGTCGCGCGGCACAAGCTATGGCGGGATCGGGAGAGGAGCACCAGACGATGATGATGGAACAACTGGCGCACGTCGAGGCCACGACGACGGGATTGGTAGTGCGGTCCGAGGGCGAGCTCGAGCTGCTGTCCTCGGAGGCCCAGGTTCAGATTGCCGCCATGTCGAGTTCCCTGCGCGTCGCAGACGACATTCAGATGCCGGCAGATGAAAATGGCCTTACGAAGCAAGGAAAGGATCACAAAGATGAATGAAGGGTTGTCACGAGAGCGAGAGATTGATGGTGGCAGGCGATGTGAAGAGAGGGAGATAAGGGGTCTGCACAAATTTGTCTCAGGGTTTCCTAGGAGAGACCGTATTCAACTACGCTATCTCGTTCATAATCATGAATAAGCTCACAATGTATATAACGTCTGATTTACATCCCATTGCTTTTGGAGCTTACGTGGGACGCGTTCGAACGTGAGTGGTGCGAGAGCCACAGACGCGTTACCGCCTGGCAAAAACGTGTTTGCGTCGCGCCTGCATGCGTTCTTTCTCCTTCGCCTTTGCCCAACAGAACACACTGCTCCAGAGACTTCATGATGCTCTCCTCCATGCTATATGGACTGCATGCATTATTCTTTAGAAACCGCCTGGAGTGCGTGACAATTTTTGACGAATTTGTCTGCCATATTCGACGCCACTCGCCACATGAGATTGCAATGGCGAATGGTGGCATTGCAGCAGACACTCCGCACTCCGCGAGCGACGAATATAAGCGCCCGTACTTCAACCGCGTCGACGCGTCTTGCCCTCCCTCTTCACGCTTGTCCCTCGACCACGAGCAGTGCCTTTTGTCAATCGTCCGATTCACCTTCGAACATCTGTATGGGTTATCGCTCCCTGTGCGCATAAGATAGCTTACTTACCTTTGATCCTGCCAGATCTGTCATCGCGCATTTTCATCATTCGGGGCCACTCGACATACTTCCACCATGTTGCTCTCCTTTCTACGGCGCATCAGCGCAGCTTTCAAGAAGAGACTCTTGCACAGCGTACAGCCACATCGCTCTGACACAGAGGGTAAGGCTGGCTGTGTGGGAGAGGTCGGCATCGAATGCGAAGTCGCACCTAGGAACCTCGACATAGACACGACCAAGAAGGAGAACGACAAGCTGGTAAGTCATTCAACCGCCATTTTCGTATCAATGTCAGGGCTCACCGAGTCGGAACCGTGTCTCGTATGTTCCATGTCAGTTGAACACCTCCATCTTTCACGCCTGCCACGATGTGGCAGCGACCGTCTTGAACGGTACTGTTTGTGCCAACCCGGCGGCTATTGACGGTTCTATTGTAAGCAAGGGATGGGCCATCGACGACCACAAGTACCATACTCATTGTATATACAGACACACGGTAGCTACTCCACGACTCTGGTAGCCGTTGACGGAGCATCGCGCGGAGGGCTGACCACGGAATCGACCACCTGTGCCGCGGATCGGTATACGTATGGACAGTTCCAGGAGAATGCACTTGTGCAACACGGGGCGGCACAGATCATGGACGACATACCATCGGTGAGCAGTGTTTCGTGCACGATAGACATTGCAGTGACGATGGCTGATCTACTTCGGCAGGGAACCATCGATCGTACATATGGCACTGTCAACGACGGTTCAGCGATGAATGGAGCCACGGATGACACCTCTAGTATAAGCTCGAACGAATCTTCTCCTGCCTGGACTCCGACGTCCGTGTTGGCGGATCTCCCGTACATCCCGGCGGGCTCAAACGTGGAGAGGCAAAATGCAGGCATAACGGCTGTGCAACAGCCAACGCTAGCATCGATGGATTTCGGTCCGCCGGCGAGTGTGGTACGCCGTAGAAACAATGGCAACGCGGTTGGGACGACGAACACGTACACCGGGGTGTCAACCTTGCCCACATTCACGAGGTCACGCAGAATGTCACCGGCGGAGCTGAACTTCTACAATGAATACTTCAGTTATCTGCAGTCGGAGAAGCCCTTCGCCATGCAGCGGGCCCCCAGAAGGCATGCTGCGACGAGGGCGGCTCGTACAACGATGACGGAGCAGCTTGCGCATATCGAGGCCGTGACGACGAGGTTGGCCATGCAGTCCGAAAGCGAGCTCGAGCTGGTGTCTCCGGAGGTCGGGGTTTAGGCTGCCGCCACGTCGAGTTTCCTGCGCATCGTATACGGAAACCCGATGCAGGCGGACGCAAATGGTCTAATGGAGCAACCAGAGGAATATAGAGGCGGGTGGAGGGTCTTCAAGAGAGCGAGAGGTTGATGGTGGCAGGCTATGCGAAGAGAACGAAATATGGAGACTGCACGGAGTTCTGTTAGTGCTTTCTAGGAGAGACCGTATTCAACTACGCTGTCTCGTTTTGTAATCATGAATCGACTTACAATGTATATAACATGTTGTTATCGTCCCAATTTTTTGGAGCCTGCATCGGACGCATTCGGACGCGAGCGGCGCGACAGCCACAGACGCGTTAGCGCCTGATAGAAAGGCGTGTGTGCCGCGCCTGCACGCTTTCTGTCTGCTTCGTCCTTGCCCAGCAAAACATTATCGTCCAGAGACTCCATGACGCTATCCTCCGTGCTATGCGCACTGCACACATTATTTTCGAGGAGCAGCCCAGCGTCCGTGACAACGTTTGCCGAACTTGTCTGCCACAGGCGACGCCACTCGCCACATGAGATTGCAACGGCGAATGATGGCCTTATACTGCCGTAGCTGACCGATTATCATGCGGTTCTATGCGCGTCGGCGTAGACGCAGTAGGTGTGCGATGCGCCTGACATCGTTTCTACAGTGGGTTCATCGCGGTGAGCTTTTTCATCTATGCCACTCGGAATCCGTGCACTGACCTTGCCTCGCTGGAATTTCCGCTATTATAAAATTCAACTCCGGAAAATCTCATCATATTATTATTTTTTGGTAGAACTGCCTGTAGCGTTCGTGGGGGCCCACAGTTAAAGATGTCCGACATCAACGCACCAGTGGCAGACTCTCTGCCAGTTCAGCTACGACATCCGTACGTGATATACGTCCGTTACTTCCCGCTTCGACCGTATGATGACCTGATAGGATGGTAACGAAGTGCGAGTGGGTAGGTTTCTACGTCAATAAACTGGTGGCTCACATTCGTATGAACATGCAGTCCCTTGGTGCCACTCCCCACTCGTACAAGGCATCACTCGTGTATATGAACCATTGCAGCTCGTCGTACGGACAATTCCCACGAAGTATCTTCCGATGATCGCCATCTATATTCGTGAGTCAATTCAGCGCGATTTTCACAATCAGAATGCACTACGTATGAAGACCAACTTATATCGTCCTATAGGTACTCGTTTTTTCCTTCGGGATGCGTATGTGAACCATGCAACATGCTGCACGTCTGCAAGATGCGAGGCCATTGCCGGGGCGGGGAATCCTTTCCAATCTAGTCCGTCGGCACGACGTCGATGGAATGTCTACCGACTTCAGTCGCTGGAATTTCAGACAAGAGAGCTTCTATGTCCTCGTCATGCGCAGGGCCTGTTTTCCGCAGACGATCTTGGTGATGATGTTCGCGTTTCGCCAGGAAGAATAGCGAGTCGATGTGGCCGGCATGAGCGACTAGATGGCCTTCGCCGTCGAGGATTACAACGACCTTGAATAGATGTCAATGATCCTGCAATGGCGATGGTGAAAAGCGAGCGGTTGAGCGGCCAGCTTCGGAACAGGCAGATTACTGTCGAGATACGCGCGGCAATTACCCGATTGAGAGACGTCGGGCCTGGCGGTGTGGCATTGTGCGCCACAGGCGCGCTTGAGTGGCGTCTCAAAGATTCATCACTTTATTCATTGCGCACATATCGCGCTCAATTTCTGTAAGTTCTGCAACGATAGCCAATGTTACATGGGCATTATGCATTACTCATATCGATACACACAGGACTTGATTCTGTTGCGCATGACAGTGAAATGGGAGATGGGAGCTCTTGTCATTGGTTAAATTCCATGATTTATCGGACTCGTCCCTCCCCCATTTCCACCTCTCCCGACAAGTATTTGTCCTCGACCAACGAAGGAATCATTCGTGTCTCACCCGCTTCCTTCTACAGCACCTCTATCAATGATCGCTTCCTCGTGAGTGTATAGCAGTTTATCTATCCGACAGCCACGTTGAAGGAAACTGTGATCCAGGATTCGATGGGTACGGAGCGTATTACAAAGGAACCAACAGTCTGAGGGCCGATGAACAGCCTTCCCGAATGGGCCGCCGAGACTATGGTATTGCGTTCTTTTATTCTGATGGCGTTCATAAGGCGGCTACAAAGAAAGCCAGGTTGAGTCGAGACAATGTATTGGGTGTGCCGCATGTTCGTGGCATTGTGCGCTTGGCTCTGAATCACGAAACTTTTGATACATGATGTGCGATATATATAATATAAATATGTCAGCATCCTTGATATCCCTCCGCTGGCAATAACGTGCTCGAACACCACTACTCATTATGAGCGATCGCAGTATTGAAGGCATGCGTCATGATCTTGCCGCCGCTCTGCTACACCTGGCAAATTGAGAGACCTGAGGCCTGCCTGAGGAGTCGGGACATTCGCATTACAAAATAAAGCAATACTTTCACAGTACAATCCTTGCAGTCATTTCCGCTTTAGTTGCTCTCCACTTCGTAGGCATCGCCTCAAATTTTGCGAAGCCCCTCTTAAGCCTTCCCGTACTAGGTTGATGAGTGCGGCTGTGTTAATCCTTGCGAGGAAAAGACATTCGGCTCTTTATCATCCATTGTGCTGCTAAGACTGCATCACTGAAGGTGTTTCAGTGGTATTAGCATCGAGAACAAGATGCTGCGCGAAGACGCACACGTCTAGGTTGTGTCTAAGAGCGATTCTCCGGGCTGATGCTCATCGTGATTCGTGAAGCAGTGTGTGGCACTGTATGCAGAGCGTGTCTTCAGGTGAATGGACTGTCCAGCGGGCGAAAGTTGGCCTGAAATCGACGTGTTCGCTAAAGTGTCAAAGTCGTTGAACTACTAGTGACAGTTGACGTATAGCAAGACCCTGCTTTGAATAACGAGATGCAGCAACAGGCAGCAACCGGCCACAAGTTCAGCCACAGCTGTATAGGGCGCGGTCTCACGGGCCACGCGTCGACCATACCGCGAACAGAGGCGGCGGCGGACGTGTTTCAGACTCTTTCCGTTTGTCATGGCAGCTGCTCCGTCGAGTGTCTCAGATTCGTCGTTCCGACTTCTGGTGACTCGGTTTAGGCTATCAGAATCATTCGAGTGGCCCTGTCGACTCTGATCTGGCCAGATCCATTCAATCCATTCACTTCATAATGCGACCATCGCGCACAGAAACGAAGAGATTCTATAACGGGAGACACAAAGATCAATGGCGTCGTATGCATACCCCTACGTACCATCGTTCTCGACATGCTCTGGCCGTCTCACACAGCCCGGAGACGAATGCTCGCGAACGACGTCCCGCAGTAGTATTCGAGGCTTAGAAAAGCATGGGATCGGCCGCAGTGTCATGCGTAGATACTGGTGCCTCCTTCAAACGAGCCGCAGCAGCCATGCAGTAAATGTCCTGCGTGGTTCCGGTGTCAGCGCAGATACCCTGCATCACCTTTGGCGAGGTCTGTAGGAAAGGATAATGTCATGTGGTGAGCATTTGTCGAGTTTCGAAGCAGCATGTGGGACTCACCACAGTTCTTTGCCTCTTCATAGGCCTCGGTCCGACAGGGGCCTGCCTCACTCGTTCGGTACTGGACGCGGTCGCTCGCGGAGCCCTTGATAATCTTCCGAGGTCAGCATCGCTCGATCCGAATGTTTCCGCTTCCTGTGCTGGCATCTGCTCAGTGATAACAATTTGGCCATTCACTTCATGACAGCTCCATAGCCCCTTCCGTAAAGTATGGGATGACTCAGGTGGCGGGATCGGCTGAGGCATCGTCAGCCGAACGTTGTGGGGGCCGTCCATGTAGGTCATAGGATTACCGGACCTGCCCATGAAGACCCTCGTTCTGTGCAGCTGGGAGGATATGAATTAATCGACTATGCAAGAATCATATGCGCCACAGGAACTCACCACGAACCACTTGCTCACATAGTTTCCATCACTGTCAGTCCGGCTCTTCCAGTCCGAGAGCCTCTCCTCGAAACTTGAAGGCCAGTTTGGATCGTAGAATGGCCACAGAGGGCGGTGGTCCCCGTCGACCGAACCCTGTACGCGTTGGTAAGTGCACAGAATAAAACGGACACTGATTGGCGAGCTGACGTACGGAATCGCTGTCCGTGAATGTTTTATTTTGGGCATTTGCAAAGGCGTCCGCATCGAATTCTTGCTCATCGTCGAACCACGAGTCCGACTCGTCGCTCCACTCGGTGGGGGATGCCACGACCGTGCGGTGATCGTCTTCCGGATTCACCAACGTGGTATTCCAGTCGCATTCCATGGGGCGGGTGGCCATGGCTCAGTGGTACGCGCAATTGATAGAAAGGCTAGTGGCTCGAGAGCGAAAGTTCTGCGTGGCGCAGGAAGTGGCCGAGCAGGTGAAGATTACAAAAAGAGCTGGGGTGCAGCCGCATTTATAGTCGTGTCGGAGGTCGAAGTGCCACTCGAATTAAACAACGCGAGTCGAACATGTTGTAGCGGGCGCCAGCGCGTCTGTGGCGGTGGCCACACTTGCTTATGGATGCATCGCCTCGGGAGGCCTGGTAAGACTCTAGTCGGTTATATGTACATTGTGAGTGATTTAATGCTAATCGCTACTGAGATAATGTAGTTGAATACGATATCCTAGAGGACATCTTCCGGCCAGACAACAAAGCCCCTCTCCTCTTCCGGTTTCAAATGGCCAGTCAAAACCAATGGCCATCCTCTTCGTAGCGGTACTTCTCATCTTCACTCTGGACATGGTCTTCCAGCACCATCTCCATCAACGGTGGTCGCGGTGAAATCCTCCCCGCCTTTTCCTCTACCTCCTTCCGCCAGGCTCTCCAGGCGTCCGTCTGCTTTTCCCAAATTGCAAAGCTCATGAGATCAAGGGCGCAGTGTGCCTTCGCGGCCTCTTTGATGACTCCCATGCGCAGACGGAATGCTTTGTCTTGCTCCTCGCGCCGCTTGAGACGGGCCATTCGCCGAGCGCGGTACTCTTCCAGAGCCTTGAGGGACCGCTTCTGGCGAGTCTTGGAAGCATTCGACTCGCTGGCCTCGTTGCGTGCTGTGGCCTCAATCTTGCCCTCCTGATCCATGCTGAGCTCCCACTGTTGCTGATAAATCATTTAAAACCCACTCACCAGTAATCCATCCACTTCGGAGTCTTCTGCAAGATGTTCGGCCTTACCCACGTGCATGTGCAGCTGCTCGAATAAGGCAGCCATGTACGCCCGCCACGCCGTGTCTTCGTCGATCCACGGACACGAAGCCATCAATGCCTCCGTCGCCAGCTGGGAGACGGCCTCTTCCATCATCTCATCATCGTCTGCGGTCATCTTCATCTTCGTCTCCGGAGTCGTGTCCATCCCACCCTCCTGTCCGTGTCGCTGCGACAAATGCTCCTGGGCCCCATCGTCGCGGTGAGCTTCGTTGTATTCGCCCAGCCACGTGGCAATCTCTCCCGCGAACGCTTTCACAGCTGTAGGCTGTTCCTTCGATGAGACGGGTGTTTCCTGCAGAGGTGGGGCCAGCAGACGGTCAGGAATTGTGGCGTCACAATGTCTGATCTTTGTGTCACGGTCCAGGTGCGTGGCCGGGAAGCTGAACAGAGGGGAGAGCGGCGTAGAGGGGAGACCTGACTCGTCGGAGTCAGTGTTGCAGTCGTCCGAGGTGCTGTGCGTCTCAACCGGGCCGTTGTTGCCGATGTTGCCCTTAGTGATGCCATGCTCCTTCAAGACGTGGGTTAGTCATTATGATACCTCGAGGCGAAGAGCGCGAGTGTGTCGAACGTGCCACTCACCGACGACTTGATGGAAAACCTTTCCGCCATTGCATACTGCTCATTGTCATCTTCCTCAACATGAACATCGTGGTTCCAGCCGTCGATGTGGGAAAGAGAGGCTGCAACTGAACCAACAAGCGAGAGTTCCTCAGCGGATTGCAGGCACCCCTCGATGCCGTAGCCGTAACGCTGCGACGTAATGAGTCCATATCTCTGCAGTCATCAATGGTCCCCAACTTACAATAGGCACGTGTTTGAAGCTACCATCCTTGTCCTCAGCCGCAATGGCCATGGTCGGTGCGCGACGGTCCAGGTTGGTGAGGATCAACTGTGGCGTTCGCAAGAATCGAGTGAGCGTCAATGATCGGTGAGCACACAATTTGTCACGAATGTATGGCTGGTTGACTTACTAGTTCATCGTCCTCATTGTCGTTCGTGTTAAATTGTGATCTCACAGCTGTAATCTGAGAGTCGATGCAGCCGAGCCTCTGCGAAGCAGTGGCTATAATCGGAGCACTATGCCGTCCGAATTTTGGTCGAATTTTCTTCTTCATGGCCACGCCGGCCCTTCGTATGGCCTTCAGGAAAAGAGTGAACATCGTCGCGAAGTAGGCCGAATTGTAACGTCGGTGAGATGCGAGAAAGGGATGAGTTAGGTTGAGAAGGCAGGTAGCTTTTGTGAGCGTGTATAGATGTATGCAGGTAGTGTCCAAAGGACGAATGTGTCAACGGTGAAGGGCACTCGTGGTGGTCGAGGGGCAAGTGCGATAACAAAGGCGACGCGACGGAGTGGCACATTTTGTAGGGGGCGCTTATTGTGCCTCGTGGCTGGTGGCAATGGCCCGAGCAACCCATCCAACTCCGATTCTCTTGGAACCCAACGCCGCACAGGGAAGTGGCCTTGATTTGCCTGTTCCTCCTGTCAGTGACTTCCGTGAAATGTGGTACTTGTTTGAGCAGGCGGTGCGTCCACACTTCAGGTTCTCCTTAGGGTCCGACCGGACTATGAGTGGACACTGACACCCTTCCAAAGGATAACCTCCTACGAACAAAGGTGGGTTGTTAATGTTGCGTGGGATGGTACCAGTGTATATAAGAGCTGGGGCCTATATCATAATACATCGTCATGTCGTTTTCCGCCATACCAGTGATGATGACACTGGAGTCGAATCGTCGCCGCTTACACATAACTGCATCGAGTATTCCACGCATACGTGCCCTCATTATCGCATGCACATCATCTGCTCGCTACCTTATTACTGATCCTCGTCGTCTGAGACTATGTACGTCTACGTAAACTCTGCTTTTTCTCGGATCGGAAGGTTGTTCTTCGGCCTCTTTGGAGATAAATATCGTATGTCTTCCTTCAATAGCAAATTGTGCTGCATAGAATTTTCTGAATCAAGTCCTTACACTGTGAAACCAATGACTGAGTTCTGAAGCTGCATCCTTTGGCTTGGCTCCTCTCTATCGAAGTAGTGGAACTTGCAAAAGTGATTTGCTAGTACCGTTGTAGCTTTATAGCCTAAAGACAAGTGCTCTGGAAGTGCATTTTATGGTACGGAAAAGTGCCTCGCCGAGTTGCAATGACATTCTTTCTAGAGTCTTCTCAGTTTGAGAACCAGCACGTAATGACAAATGATTATATGCACTGCGAAGGGCAAAGTTGTGACCAGTTGCAAGGTATTAGTGTGACTCATTTCCTCTATTGAGACATGATAACTCTGGCTTGATATATGGACGTGATGATGTGAGGAGGTCATCACGACTCCTGGATACTGCGTCCTTGAGGGGAAGCGACGAGACATCTTGATGTGTCATTAAATCTTCCAATGTTCTCACAATTCACATCGAGTCTGCATATGGGTTGTGCATAATTTCATTTCCGTTCAATCCGGGACACGTCCTCTATACATCTTCTCGTACTTGTCCGGAGTGTCGGTTTCGAGAGCTGTCCATTTCGATGCCCAAAAGCGCCACAAGCGCGTAAACGCCCGACGAACTTGAGCGCGTCGAGCACGAGATCGCGTCGTAGTCGTGCGACTAAGTTAGTAATTGATAATCTATATATTCTCTATCTATCGTAAAGCCGATCCTGTCGACGAAAGCTTCATGTATATACGATTAGAATGCGATCTGTACATTTGTGAATACTTCCAGCGATGCGGCCATGCCTCGAAATTCAGCCGCAGCCACAGCCTAGCAAGGCCACAAGTCGCCACACGCCCGTCCTCAGGGGAAAAAAGCTGCTTTCGTGCTGCTTGGTGAAGCCTTGTGACGCTTTGCTGCCACTTATCCTGCTTCAATGCCATGCAGCAGTAACTAGTAGAGACACGTTGATGCGATGTAGAAGGAGATGCTTTCTTGACACAGCAATCTGAAGTGTGGATGAAAGGCGGAATAAGCGCGCTTGAGGCGGCGATTTACCCACGCCTCTCAGACGACACAGGCCCCGCGCGGTAATCGTCGACCTACTTCGACTGAGCCATGGCCGGCTGGCCCACCGATTCATTGTACGCCTGCCATGAGTCCGTCGACCACTGTGTCTCCCTGAACCCTGTAGTTGTGCTGCAATACTGGACCGGATCGTCATGATGGCGGCACGCCGAGTCCAATCCTCGATCGATCCGAGACAATCTATTCGCCAAAACTACAGCGGCACGAAAGAGAGATAGCTAACGCTGTCGTGCAAGTGTCCCCGTCCGTGTAACTCACATCCTCAATCCAATCAAAATAGTCTACGTCTAATGAATTCCATCGCAGCTCAGCTTGGGAGCTCTCGAGTCAGAGCACCAGTATCTCAGCCAGTGTCATATACCAATTGCGCCGCATGGTGGGCCACACAAATAACCGAAGGCGATGCCGTCTCTGATTGGACTACTTCTGCAATGCTGCCGATGTGTTGCTTGGCTGGACCTTGCTGGATGAGAGCGACGGACCGGTGACTGGCTTCTGTAGACCAACAAAGCACAGTGAACTCGGTGAGTATCTATACAAACATTACACAGCTGTATGCAGAACTCACTGAGAAGCATTTAGGTTTAGGCCACGCTCTTGCAGGCGTCTGCCTCAAAGGTTTCGTGACAGAGGGTGCCCTGGCGGTCTGCAAAAACGAAGGTACGCGTCCGGTCTTATCTGGCATGTTGACGGTCCCAGGTTGCCTGGTGATGACGACCTCCCCGTCTTCTTCGTGACAATCCCAATTTCCAAACAGGATGGTTTCAAAGCTCTCACGCGGGTGGACAGGCTGCGGCATCACCAATGGAATGGTGTACGGGCCTTTGGTGTATGTTTTTGCACGGCCAAACTTGTCCTTGAATATGCTTTCATATGTCTGCAAAGGAACTGTTCATGCTACCACACAATCATGTACAACGGCCATAGAACTCACCACGGTCCAATAAGCCACGAAGTTGCCCTCTTCATCCGTCCTCTTAACCCATTTTGACCATCCCTCTCCTAGGTACACGCCCTCGGTAGGCATGACCCAGGGCGACGATGGACGACTGCCGGAATCATTCCAATCCTTGAGGTCAATGGTGAGTGCACAGGACAATACGGGCACTGATGAGCTGGCTGACGCACCGACTCGCTGCTTGTGCTCGTATTGCATTGTGTTCTCATGAAGTCCATCGTCTGCTGGTAGTCATCCGCCGAGGCTGGGTCATCTCCCCAATCGGACCACTCGCTGGGGGATACAGCTTGCATATGCACATCTTCTCGAGGATCCACTTGAAGGGCATTCTCTTCGTCGTTCGGGGGAGGAGTGATCATGATGATATGGCGATCAAAGAAGAACGAGTGGCAAGTGACCAGACAACAAAGGCGAACAGTGAGAAGACAGCGGACAGACTCAAGCTCTGTGCGCAGAGACTTTGCCGTGCAGGCGTACGGAAGAACCGATGGGGGTGTTGAACAAGCGGCTCGAGTATGGCGGCCTTAAATAGATAGCCGTGGCCACAGTCGAGGTTCAACATGAGCCAAACAACGTGGCCTGAACACGTTGTTTACTAGCACCAACACGTCTGTGGCAGCGGGCTCCACTCGCTTAGGGATACCTCCGGTCAAATATTATTCGCGGGAGGCAATGGGCCATGCTGTGCATACATGGTATATTCATTTATTCTGGCCCGAATACTCAAGACATTGAATGTTGCTGCCTAGCGATTGGACTTCATGGCCGATACTTTTGCACTGCGGCCACGCTCAAGCATGTAGCCTGTCAAGCTCGTCCGCATTTTTCTTGGCCACTGACGTCTGGCCCTAGCGTGGCATGCGTAGTCTCACCTCGCTTCTACTTGGTCCACATCCTTCTCGAGCCCTCCTGTGCTTATCACGGACGACAAGGCTGTGAAGAGGTGTGTGAGTAGCCCGATGGCAGGCGAGTTCATTTAGAGAACAAATATGATATTGCGTTAACGCTTGTGAGGAAAGTCTGCACGATCACGATGTCTCATATAGGGGGAGCACGTAACTCCCAATGTGTATAGTATCAAATTATTCTCCTGTGGCCCGGAGCGTGCGATTGGACGCGTTCGACTGCAAGTGGCCCAGACGCCACAGACGCGTTAGCGCCCAAAGCCAACGTGTTCGCGTCGCGCCTGAGCATTGCGTACCTGACCCTCGCCACAGCCGCCGAATTTTCTCCTCGTACTATCACCGTGCCACTCCGTGCTGAACGATTCTCTAAATTGTTTCTAGGAAGCTACCTGATGAAACTGCAGTCCGCGAAATGGTCCGCCATCGCCGGCGCCACTCGTCAGTTGGGTTTGAGTGGCGAATTTGCAATATCGCATCCTACCGCTTTTCGAGTACGTGTTCAAGCAGGTCGTTATAGGGGGATGGAGGATGAGGCCTTGAGATATGATCGGCGATTCACACAACGACAGCAGGATGGTGAGCTTCTCCACTAATGTGGATCGTGAGCTGCGCACTGAATCTGCATCGTTGAAAAGGGTATATATCCGCTCCATGAAGTTTGTCCAGCTTCAACGGAGTCATACCAGGTTATTTGAGTGCTGCCACCGCCTGTGGCGTTCAAGTTCATGGTATGGGGCAAACTGTGCAATGGCCGCCGAAGTTGATGTTCAATCGCAGAGTCTGTTCTGGTTCGAGCAAGAACGTACGGCCGGCATCTAGCTTGTTATTCTACCTTTTCCCTCTCAACATGACCATTCTGTGAGCTGGTGAAGGAATACGTCTGAGTACGTCCCTACATCTTACAATGGTGGTAATTTATGTCAGTAATACGGAAGTTCATAAACGGTTCAGAGGCAATTACCGAAACTTATTCCTATCTCACAGCTCACCCCACCTCTTGACATACACGGGGAACGGTTGTCATCAGGGCTGATTGTATCGTAGTAGTTCGCATTCGGCGCTCTCGAAGAAATGAGCAAACATGTGTGCGTGCGAGCGCCTTCACCCAGGACTTCACATACAAGTAAGACACTGTCTTCTCTTAATTATGCCGTCGAATCCCCTCTTCATCTCATACATCATCGCGTGTGCGGGCGTAGAGCTGGAACGATGTTGTCGACTCAAGAACTCGGCTTTCATGCAAACGTTTGTAGGGCGACCATCATGTTCAAGCTAGGTCCAAGATTAAATAATGGAAATGTCCGTCGTCTCCCAAGCCAAATGGAGTTCGATAAGTAGAGGGGAAAGCCAGTCGTACTAGTGCTACTATCAATAATGAGAAGCTCGAGGTACTACATATTACGACACATCAATAGCGGCAAAGAAAAGCTCGAAAACTGAGACTAACAAATCGCAGAGACGAGCCAGCATTTCATGAAAAATCATGTTTAGGAGAAGGAGAGCATGATTTGCACAAATAAACGGGATGCGAAGAAGACAGTTAGTTATTAGGAGAAAGACAACGGCAGAGGACTCGGACAACGGTTGCAGAATATACTCGTTTGGAAAAAACAAACCCCAGGAATCATGGTTCTAGATTAGTTATTCGTGCAACTTCTATAGCAAGCAGAGAGGTTCGCTTACTACATGTAGCTTGGAGATCGCAAGGCTATACATATATCGAAACTTACTACGCTATCTGGGATTGCCGTTATCGTCCAGACCTATAACGAACGTTCATTAAAATCCCATGTCAAATACAAGTTAACGTACCCAAGGTCGGATCGAAATACATCCACAAAAATGTACTGATCCTACCCATCGTACGTAGATTGGGACTGGACGGCCAACCCAAGTGCTGCGCGACGGCGGCGGTGAACTGGACGCTCGAAGACATAGTATAGCTGGCGAATGATTCTGGCAGTAATCCTACTGCTCCGAAGTCAAAGAGGCACGTCCTCCCTTCGACATCGACGCCGAAGTTGCTCTCGTCCATGTCGGACTGCGTAAAGACCAGCCGCTCATTGCAAAGGCTGACGTGTGCTACTGGCCCGGACCTGGGCGTAACCTTCGTACTAGCCTAGCCCAAGTCATATGTTAGTGGATGGCGAACACAAGAAAATACAAGCATGGACACACTTTATTCAAGTACCGCTCGATAGCCTGGATGCTTGAGAAAGACAGAGGCGCATTGTAGTCCTTGAAAAACTTATGGCGGGCGTGACCGCTTCCTAGAGGGCCAATCCGGACACGGTCGGGAGGAGGAGTTGGAAGATCACGAAGCCACTGGATTGCCAGTGCCGCCCTTTGGGGAAGGTCCGGGACTGGAGTGGGAGTAAACTTGAGGTTCTCCATAACCATGTACGACATCTGATGGTCACGATGGAAGAATTGAATGACCTCAGGAACGTGTGGCGCACTCATGTTGCTCTTTGCACACTGGAAGACGTACGTCTGCGTCTCAAATTCAGGGTACAGAGACTCGTAATCGTCGAATTTAACGAAGAATCCATCGATGACGAGGCAACGTCTGTAGCCATTCTCCCTCCAATGAGAGCGCTCGTGTTCAGCGCAAGCACGAATGATAGCGGCCTCGAAGGCGGCTGCGTCGTTGGGGGTGGATGTCATTGCTGTGTTCCTTGGATTTAAGCAAGATTAAGGGAGAGTGGTATAAGGATGCGTACGAAGATAAAAGATAATGGGCTATAAGGAAGAGGACTAGGTTGAGAGCAGAACACAAACGCAATGCTTCGGATGAAGACGCTTGAGTAAAGGTTAGAAAGAGCGAAAAATCTGATACGTACGAGGATGAAAGTCGAAGGAGAAGTCAGGATGAAAGACAAAAGTCTATGTGCAGAGACTTTGTCGTGCAGGCGCGTGGAAGAGCCGATGGGGGTTGTTGGACAAGCGGCCCGAGTATGGCCGTGTAAAATAGCCGTGGCCACAGTCGAGGTTCAACATGAGCCAAACAGCATGGCCTGCACACTCGCGCCCACACGGAGTCCGTGGCGGAGGGCTCCACTCACTCAGGGATGCCTCCGGTCAAATATTCGGGGGAGGCAATGGGTCATATTATGCATACATGGTACATGTATTTATTCTGGCCCGAACACTCTAGATATTGAATGTTGCTGCCTGAGTGATTGGACTTCATGGCCGCCGATGTTCTGGGTCACACTGCGGCCACTGTCAAGTGTCAAGCCCGTCCACATTTTTTCCTTGGTCACTGACAGTGACGTCTGGCCCTCGCGTGGCACGCGTAGTCTCGCCTCGCTTCTACCTGGCCAACGTCCTTCTCGAGTCCTCCTGCGCTTAGCACGGACAACAAGGCTGTGGGTGTCGACACTGCCCACGTTCACCAGGCCACGCAGAACGTCACCGGTGGAGTTGGACTTTTACAAGGGATACTTCAGTTACCCGCAGTCGGAGAAGCCGTTTGCAATGCAGCAGACCCCGAGAAGGCTTGCTGAGATGAGGAAGGCTCGTACGGCAAGGAGGGGAGCAAGAGAACTGGAAAGGCGTGTTCGACATGTGCCGGCGGACGACCTTCGGGAAAATGATGACGAGGCTCAGCTACAGGGGGAGTTCACGCCGGCAGTCTCGGACAAATTGACGAATGAGCGCGAACCTCAACGTCGCGCGGCACAAGCTATGGCGGGATCGGGAGAGGAGCACTAGACGATGATGATGGAACAACTGACGCAAGTCGAGGCCACGACGACGGGATTGGTAGTGCGGTCCGAGGGCGAGCCCCAGCTGCTGTCCTCGGAGGCCCAGGTTCAGATTGCCGCCATGTCGAGTTCCTTGCGCGTCGCAGACGAGATTCAGATGCCGGCGGACGCAAATGGCCCTATGAAGCAAGGGGAGGATCACAAAGATGAATGAAGGGTTGTCACGAGAGCGAGAGATTGATGGTGGCAGGCGATGTGAAGAGAGGGAGACAAGAGGTCTGCACAAATTTGTCTTAGGGTAGAGGCCGTATTCAACTACGCTGTCTCGTTCATAATCATGAATAAGCTCACACTGTATATAACGTCCGGTTTACATCCCAATGCTTTTGGAGCTTGCGTGGGACGCGTTCGAACGTGAGTGGCGCGACGGCCACAGACGCGTTACCGCCTGGGAAAAACGTGTTTGCGTCGCGCCTGCATGCGTTCTTTCTGCTTCGCCTTTGCCCAGCAGAACATACTCCAGAGACTTCATATGCTCTTTTTCATGTTATATATGAGCATTGCATGCATTAATTTTGAGGAACCGCTTGGAGCCCATGACAACTTTTGCTGAAGTTGTCTGCTATAGTCGACGCCACTCGCCACATGATATTGCAATGGCGAATGGTGGCATTGCGGCAGGCACTCCGCACTCCGCGAGCGACGAATATAAGCGCCCGTACTTCAACCGCGTCGACGCGTCTTGCCCTCCCTCTTCACACTTGTCCCTCGACCACGACCAGTGCCTTTTGTCAATCGTCCGCTTCACCTTCGAACATCTGTATGGGTTATCGCTCCCTGTGCGCATGAAATAGCTCACTTACCTTTGATCCTGCCAGATCTCTCATCGCGCATTTTCATCAATCGCCGCCACTCGACGTACTTCCACCATGTTGCTCTCCCTTCTACGGCGCATCGGCGCAGCTTTCAAGAGGAGACTCTTGCCCAACGCACAGCCATATCGCTCTGACACGGAGGTCAAGGCTGGCTGTGCGGGAGAGGTCGGCATCGAATGCGAAGTCACATCTGGGAATCTCGACATTAACACGACCAAGACGGGGAACGACAAGCTGGTAAGTCATTCAACCGCCATTTTCGTATCAATGTCGGGGCTCACCGAGTCGGAACCGTGTCGCGTATGTTTCATGTCAGTCGAACACCTCCATCTTTCACGCCTGCCACGATGTGGCAGCGACCGTCCTGAACGGTACTGTTTGTACCAACCCGGCAGCTGTTGACAATTCTGTTGTAAGCAAGGGATGGGCCATCGACGGCCACAAGTACCATACTCACTGTATATACAGAAACATGGTAGCTACCCCACGACTCTGGAAGCCGTTGACGGAGCATCACGCGGAGGACTGATCACGGAATCGACCACCTGTGTCGCGGATCGATATACATATGGGCAGCTCCAGGAGAATGCACTTGTGCAACATGGGGCGGCACAGACTATGGACGACATACCATCGGTGAGCAGTGTTCCGTGCACGATAGACATTGCAGTGACAATGGCTGATCTATGTCGGCAGGGAACCATCGATCGTACATCTGGCACTGTCAACGACGGCTCATCGATGAAGAGAGCCACGGATGACACCTCCGGTATAAGCTCGGACGAATCCTCTCCTGCCTCGACTCCGACGTCCGTGTTGGCGGATCTCCCGTACATCCCGGCGGGCCCCAACGCGGAGAGGCAAAATGCACACGGAACGGTTGTGCAACAGCCAACGCTAGCATCGATGGGTTTCGGTCCGCGGGCGAGTGTGGTACACCGTAGAAACAATGGCAACACGGTTGGGACGACGACGAACACGTACACCGGGGTGTCGACCTTGCCCACATTCAGGAGGTCGCGCAGAATGTCACCGGCGGAGCTGAACTTCTACAATGAGTACTTCAGTTACCTGCAGTCAGAGAAGCCCTTCGCCATGCAGCGGGCCCCTAGAAGGCATGCTGCGACGAGGGCGGCTCGTACAACGATGACGGAGCAGCTTGCGCATATCGAGGCCGTGATGACGAGGTTGGCCATGCAGTCCGAGAGCGAGCTCGAGCTGGTGTCTCCGGAGGTCACGGTTTAGACCGCCGTCACGTCGATTTTCCTGCGCATTGTAGACGGAAACCCGATGCAGCCGGACGCAAACGGTCTAATGGAGCAACAGAGGAACATTGAGGCGGGTGGAGGGTCCTCATGAGAGCGAGAGGTTGATGGTGGCAGGCTATGCGAAGAGAACGAAATATGGAGACTGCACGGAGTTCCGTTAGTGCTTTCTAGGAGAGACCGTATTCAACTACGCTGTCTCGTTTTGTAATCATGAATCGACTTACAATGTATATAACATGTTGTTATCGTCCCAATTTTTTGGAGCCTGCATCGGACGCATTCGGACGCGAGCGGCGCGACAGCCACAGACGCGTTAGCGCCTGATAGAAAGGCGTGTGTGCCGCGCCTGCACGTTTTCTGTCTGCTTCGTCCTTGCCCAGCAAAACATTATCGTCCAGAGACTCCATGACGCTATCCTCCGTGCTATGCGCACTGCACACATTATTTTCGAGGAGCAGCCCAGCGTCCGTGACAACGTTTGCCGAACTTGTCTGCCACAGGCGACGCCACTCGCCACATGAGATTGCAACGGCGAATGATGGCCTTATACTGCCATAGCTGACCGATTATCATGCGGTTCTATGCGCGTCGGCGTAGACGCAGTAGGTGTGCGATGCGCCTGACATCGTTTCTACAGTGGGTTCATCGCGGTGAGCTTTTTCATCTATGCCACTCGGAATCCGTGCACTGACCTTGCCTCGCTGGAATTTCCGCTATGGTAAAATTCAACTCCGGAAAATCTCATCATATTATTATTTTTTGGTAGAACTGCCTGTAGCGTTCGTGGGGGCCCACAGTTAAAGATGTCCGACATCAACGCACCAGTGGCAGACTCTCTGCCAGTTCAGCTACGACATCCGTACGTGATATACGTCCGTTACTTCCCGCTTCGACCGTATGATGACCTGATAGGATGGTAACGAAGTGCGAGTGGGTAGGTTTCTACGTCAATAAACTGGTGGCTCACATTCGTATGAACATGCAGTCCCTTGGTGCCACTCCCCACTCGTACAAGGCATCACTCGTGTATATGAACCATTGCAGCTCGTCGTACGGACAATTTCCACGAAGTATCTTCCGATGATCGCCATCTATATTCGTGAGTCAATTCAGCGCGATTTTCACAATCAGAATGCACTACGTACGAAGACCAACTTATATCGTCCTATAGGTACTCGTTTTTTCCTTCGGGATGCGTATGTGAACCATGCAACATGCTGCACGTCTGCAAGATGCGAGGCCATTGCCGGGGCGGGGAATCCTTTCCAATCTAGTCCGTCGGCACGACGTCGATGGAATGTCTACCGACTTCAGTCGCTGGAATTTCAGACAAGAGAGCTTCTATGTCCTCGTCATGCGCAGGGCCTGTTTTCCGCAGACGATCTTGGTGATGATGTTCGCGTTTCGCCAGGAAGAATAGCGAGTCGATGTGGCCGGCATGAGCGACTAGATGGCCTTCGCCGTCGAGGAGTACAACGACCTTGAATAGATGTCAATGATCCTGCAATGGCGATGGTGAAAAGCGAGCGGTTGAGCGGCCAGCTTCGGAACAGGCAGATTACTGTCGAGATACGCGCGGCTATTACCCGATTGAGAGACGTCGGGCCTGGCGGTATGGCATTGTGCGCCACAGGCGCGCTTGAGTGGCGTCTCGAAGACTCATCACTTTATTCATTGCGCACATATCGCGCTCAATTTCTGTAAGTTCTGCAACGATAGCCAATGTTACATGGGCATTATGCATTACTCATATCGATACACACAGGACTTGATTCTGTTGCGCATGACAGTGAAATGGGAGATGGGAGCTCTTGTCATTGGTTAAATTCCATGGTTTATCGGGCTCGTCCCTCCCCCATTTCCAACTCTCCCGACAAGTATTTGTCCTCGACCAACGAAGGAATCATTCGTGTCTCACCCGCTTCCTTCTACAGCACCTCTATCAATGATCGCTTCCTCGTGAGTGTATAGCAGTTTATCTATCCGACAGCCACGTTGAAGGAAACTGTGATCCAGGATTCGATGGGTACGGAGCGTATTACAAAGGAACCAACAGTCTGAGGGCCGATGAACAGCCTTCCCGAATGGGCCGCCGAGACTATGGTATTGCGTTCTTTTATTCTGATGGCGTTCATAAGGCGGCTACAAAGAAAGTCAGGTTGAGTCGAGAGAGACGGCAATACATATCATTTCTCACTTGTGACATTTGTACTGAGGGTAAATACCCGCAGGGATGCGACGTCAATGAAAGCAGTGCCCTCGTCCAGGGGGTTCGTCATGCAGCTTGCGAGAGGAGATACCATCGGCGACACGGACAAGCTGGACTGCCCCAAAGATCGCTAGGATGTGATCGGGACCACACAGTACCCGCTTAAGAGGGGGAGGCGAGGAGTCCAATTGGAGGGAGCGGGGATATGAAGCAAGTCCGTGGAGGCTCCTACTGCAGAAAGTTGTCGTTGTCCGGTATCGCCGGTCGTGTACTAAACAGTTGTAACATATCCAGTAGAAGGTTTCTTACCGGCAACGAACCTTGCATCTGGCGCCATGGCATGGCATGTCAAGAGCGAACCGGCAAAGGAATGAGAGGAAGATCTGGCCAGGAAGTAAATGGAGCACGGAAAAGTATGGTACCTCGAGTGGATAGCGGATAAAAATGCGAATGCTGCGGTGCAGGATTATGCAGGATGTCCTGCAAGAAAAGACCGTAGTAAGCGACGTAGTCTCCGTCACGAGACAGAGCTGATGTAGATCCTACGAACAGAATCTTTTCTTCCAGTTTACGAGTGCACGCAATTAGACGTGTATTGCATAACGGTCGCTGGCGCGTTGGCACCAAATAACATGTTCGTGCCGCACGTTCTTTCTTTCTTTTTCCTTGGCCTTCACGCACAAGCGACGCCACAGAAAGGTGGCTACCTTGCAGATGCCTCATCTCCGGACATGGCCTTTGTTCTAATGCAACGTATCATATATCGTTGCAAGCCACACGAAATGTTCAGACGCACTAGAAATCAAGTCTCGGGCTTGGAAAGGGAGACACAATAACAGCAGAAATGCTTGGCTAACTCCAGCTATCGTCGAAAATGGTGGGCAATGGCCACGAGGTCCATGCGTGGGCGCGAGCCTCCGAGATAGGCGCCTACTCTAAAGTCAACCGCGACGCGCCTTGTCTTCTTCTTCGCACTTATTCTCCTACCACCACAAGTGTTCATCACCATCCGCCCACATCGCTTCTTGATAGTTCTTGTCATCAGAACCCTTCATAACAAAATCAGACTCACCTTTCTGACACCTCAGTCCATCGAGTACCATTTAAACATTGAGTTTGCCACCCGACGCACTGCGCCACAATGTTCAGCTTGCTCAAGAGGGCCCATGCGGCCATCAAGAAGTCGATTAAACGACTGAAGAAATTGCGACACACTTTTGTGGAGCACAACCATGTGAAAGGGCCTACAGGTGCCATCTTCGAGGCGATCACTGCGAGTACAATCACATACACGGATGACGACAGGGACGACATCTTGGTGAGTTATCCAGCTGCCAACTTCGTGTCTGTGTTTGTGCTCACCTCATAACGCTGGTCATCGCGGACGTCGTACAAAGTCAATATGCTTCACGGTCGACGGATTTGAGGAACACGCATTGGCAACGGAGGGCGATGATGGATGCACGGATGCTTCGGATGAGTACGAGTCTACGGTAAGCACAAAGGCATCGGTCAGTTGGTGCACAAGGTATTCAATGTTACTGCAGTTCCACATGCGCTTCGGCGCGCGGGTTCTGCAACCGATCCCAGAGATTGGGGCTGGCAACTTCCCCGAACCAGTGCTCTATCTCGATGGCTGGAACAATACGGCAGAGTATGAGGACGAGCATGTCCTTGCAGAGCAGGGATGCTTTGAATCAGAGGTAAATAACAACTCACCCATGATGCACGGCATAAGGATGTCGATAGCGGCTTCGCGTCTATAGGTTGCTGATAAGTTGCGCAGGACATCAACAACGGCAACGAGCTTGAAATGATCCGCAGAGTTGAGACGTCCGGTACCGAATCCGATGAATCTTCTTTCCTGCCTACTCCGCCTTCCCTGTCGTTCAATACCGCGCCAACTCAGCAGATTCGCAGGTCGGTGGTAGGACAGACTACGGTCGAGGTTCCTCAGCACGTAACATCGGCGCGGCTTCCATCCATTGCATCATGCGAACGGGTTTTCGCACGATGTCTGGACATTGGAGCAGCGTACACGGCACGCGTTGCGAAAGCCGATAAGGTGCAACATGACATGGAACTCACGGAGGCGCGACGTCTCGCGAATCCACAGGCTATCGCGGAGGTTGCTGAAGAGGCTGGACCGACGCAGCCTAACACGATATGGCACATCGCCACGGAGCTTGTAGCAGCAGCTGGGGTCACAGAAGCAGAGACTGAACATATATCGGCATGGTCCGCATTGAGCGATATCCCCGACTACGTTGACAAGACTATGGCATGGGATATTTTCCTGGGCGAGATCTTCTACAAGCTGAAGCCTTCCCATGAGCTGAAGCCGGGAATGGCACTGGCTGCTATGAGGGCGTTCAACAAGAGATATCCTGAAAACCGTTTCACCTTGGTCGAAACGCCGGTTGCCGCCCCGAAGGTAAGCAATATCGTGCATCCGCTCAGAGGGACGAGAAGAGGTGACACGTGTCCACAGGACCGCGAGCGTTCCAATGTGGTGGATGGGCAGAAGCGCAAGACCGAGGTGCCTACGAACCATTCGAGGGGAGTCAGCTCTGCTGAGGGTGGCCAGAGGATGAATGCGTCCATGGATGAGCCTCGCAAGCAGGCTGTCAAAGAATCTCGTGTGTTGGGGAAGGAGCATCGTGCACACGACGAAGAATTCGAGAAGCGGTGGGCTGCGGAGTACTGCAGCACGATCTATCTTCAAGCGTGGATGCATCTTGCGGGCATGACGTTGGTCCTTCGTGACATCAAGCAGAAGCAGAGGCAACATGCTCGTCAGAAAAGAGAGAGGCGTCTGTGCGGAGGTGGAGGCATATGAGCTGAATGAAAAGTCAAAGAGTCCGTTGAGAGGTTGAGGTGCTCGAGCAGTAGATATACGAGCGTTCCATGATGTGGCTCTAGGAGACCATATTCAACTACGTCATCTCATTGATATGATTGAATAGACTCACACAATGTATGTCAGTACTATTATTTATACGCCTGTCGCGGAGAGACACGTTCAAGAGCGAGTGGCAACTGCAGCCACAGATGCGTTGGCGCCCGATAACGCATGCTCACGCCGCGCTCAATCTCTCGTTTGCCTTCGTCTCCTGCCAAGCGGCAGTCACATCCAATGCTCCGGTCGCGTTGCAACTGGTTTACAGTTCTTGCTGGAAATGGCGTACAAGATGATGTCTCCTCCACGGTACTTTGTCGCGGCCTAAGCTTGCTGTCGTTGGCATACCGCCCGCCACTCGATTGGCCACGACATAGCTTCTGCGTGACAATGGCTTCTGTGAGATTTCAACTGATGCTTGAGGTTACGAAGACATACATTGTCACCATCAAATAATCTTCTGCGTGTCGTGAGCGGAATCTTCCTGGAACTACAGGGCCGTCAGATGCCACTTAGCCGAACGGCCAGGGTTACGGGTGAGCTTATTGCTGTCGTAGGCTAAATATTATGTGCTTACATCGCACTATCTGGTGCTCATAGACCCGACATCCCAACGGGTTTCTAATGTCACAGAACCAGTAACAATTTAGGCCGTATAGGCAGGAATGGCGGCGACTCTGAGCCACTCGTGATTTGGAATATCCCAATTAATGAAGGCCCGAAATGCACAGGATTCAACTGAACATGAAAACTCGTCAGGCTGTCTGAGAATGTTCGGATGACTTACGGAGCACTAACATCACTCTGTAGATTCAGCGCTTTCCCCCGTATGCATGAATTAATATGCGCATTGTAAGTGCGCTGACTCGTACGTCCTCTAACGAGACTGCCAGAAGAGCCAAATGATATCTTCCAAGGGAGACTAGTACTGGTCAACGCCATCGTTCACCACTCTGGTGGCAACTGAAACGCTTGCTACGCACCAACGGCAGCTTCCTTTCCCCAAGCTTTCGCTGCAAGTCAGGTCGCCCATCATCTTGTCCCTCCATGAAAAATCCTAGCCTTTCGGTGTTGCTATCCATGTTGTTGCTGTCAGAGACTATCACGGAGCTATCGCGACGTTATGGCCGGGCGAGAATCAATGCAAACTGTGAAGACACATCCATCTCCATCGGGCATGCTGAATCGACTTCTTGGAGACCATCTCGTCTGTGCATGAACCGTCTTGATGATAGCAAATTGCATGCCGAATAGGTATGCACTCTTCCACTGAGATCTTGTCCAACATCCCGGCCTCGATGGTGGTTAAGTGCACTTGACACCAACTGTGTTGACGCTGAGCGTGGACAACGCGCAAGATACTCTGACACAAAGGAATGGAGACAGGATACACTACATCGCTTGAGCGACACGCGGACGAAGTTGCACGATTCGGGCGTGTGGCGTAGCCTCGCCTGCGCCGCTGTCGCAGTCTCTCGCAGCTAGAGTTTCACTTTTTCGAGTGGCCCATTCACTGAATTCCACAATGAGACATAGAGTCTCCGGGCAACCATGAATTGAGAAATTACCATCACTGTTTCCGCAGACTCGAAGGAGCAAGACGGTGGTGCATTCTCATTCCGTAATCATTACGTAACATCGATAAGATTAGATCCGTGTACTTAATCAAAATTTCGACTCATCCTCGAGAGAGAACGATGTCTACACCATCTATCACAGTAGCAGCCCGCTCTAGAGGACGACCGTGCGTTCCTGTTCGGTAAGTCACATCCAATTTTTGAGAAAATGTGTTAAGTACTCCACCTCAAAAGATCGCCGTCGTTGCGTTCGCTAGCTGAGTCCACACGCACTTTCAAGCACGGTTGGTACGTGACTTCACGATGCTCCTTCGTATCCCCATAACGTTTTCATTAGAGACGATGCTGGAACTCCATGGGTCTTCCCACCTAACTCAGACAAGGCGTGATACTCTCCTGAAGAGCATCCAAAAGCGTTGTCCGAAAATCGTCTCCGTGGACGCAGTCCATCTGCACCTCGTCGACTCACCTGAGGAGGAATTGTACCAACCAGGATCTAAGCCGCAGCTCGTCCTCAGTCGCTTGCTTCAGTATGGAGATGACATCACGCTTCCGGGCACCGCCGATGCCTTGCGCGCAGAGCACAACATTGCCTTTGTCTTGCCCCGCCCAGGATCTGTATCTCCCTGGTCCAGCAAGGCAACCGATATCGCTGCAATATGTGGGCTGAAGAAGTACGTCAAACGTATCGAGCGAGGTGTCATCTTTGTTTTCAAGACTTCGGAAGGAGACCTGACGAAGGACGACCTCGCCTCCTTCGCGGACCTCATACATGACCGTATGACTCAGGTCGTCCAGCTCACGCACCCTGATCCCGAGGTCATATTCTCTCACAAGACTACAAAGCCTCTCGTCACCGTTGACCTGATATCAGACAGCAAGAATGCCGGAGCTGCTCGCGAGAAGCTGGTCGCTGCAAACAAGGAGCTAGGGTTGGCGTTGTCTTCCGATGAGATTGACTACCTGGTGGACGCATTCGTGTCTGGCTCCTCTCCTATCGGCCGCAACCCCACCGATGCCGAGCTATTTATGTTCGCTCAAGTCAATTCCGAGCACTGCAGGCACAAGATATTCAATGCATCGTGGACTGTCGACGATGCCTTGCAGGATACGTCTCTATTCCAGATGATCAGGAACACAGAGAAGGTCTGCGGGAAAGGAACGATCTCAGCCTATTCGGATAACGCAGCAGTGTTTGAAGGACATTCCGCCCCTCGCTTCGGAGTCTCATTCGCGGACCAAGCGTCTCCGCGGTATGAGGCGCAGGTCGAGGATATGCCCATTCTCATCAAAATCGAGACCCACAACCACCCGACCGCCGTGTCGCCGTACCCTGGGGCGGCAACTGGATCGGGAGGTGAGATCAGAGACGAGGGCGCTGTCGGCCGAGGATCAAAGCCCAAAGCGGGTCTCGCGGGCTTCACCGTCTCCAACCTGCTGATACCTGGCTTCGAGCAGCCCTGGGAGACGGACTTTGGCCACCCCGCTCACATCGCGTCTGCTCTTGACATCATGATCGAGGGCCCCCTCGGCGCGAGTGGGTTCAACAACGAGTTCGGACGCCCTGCTTTAGCCGGATACTTCCGCACGTTCGCAGAACGCGTTCCTGCTGGTACAGAAGGGGAGCTGGAGACTCGTGGTTACCACAAGCCGATCATGATCGCTGGCGGTCTGGGTAACGTCCGTCCCTCCTTCGCGATGAAATCTAAGATTTCTCCAGGAGCCAAGATCATCGTGCTTGGTGGCCCCGGTTTACTGATCGGTCTTGGCGGAGGAGCAGCAAGCAGTCAAGTGTCCGGTGCCGGCTCGGCTGAACTGGATTTTGCGAGTGTGCAACGAGACAATGCGGAGATGCAGCGGCGCTGTCAGCAGGTCATCGATGCGTGCGTCTACCTCGGTGAGGGAAACCCTATACAGTCCATCCACGATGTCGGCGCCGGTGGTCTCTCGAACGCTCTGCCGGAGCTGGTGCACGACTCCGGTCTGGGAGCTATCTTCGAGATACGTGACGTCCTCGTGGCGGATACGAGCATGTCGCCCATGGAGATCTGGTGCAACGAGAGTCAGGAGCGATACGTCCTCGCCATTTCACCAGAGAAGGAGTCAGATTTCACTGCACTGGCACAGCGTGAACGATGTCCCTTTTCCGTCGTCGGTGTTTCGACGGTGGAGGAGGAGCTCATCGTCACAGATCGCCTATTTAAGACGGATGTCATCCGGCTGAAGATGTCAACGTTGTTCGGCAAGCCTCCCAGGATGCACCGCTCCGACTCGACCAAGCTGATCACCTACGTCCCGTTCGATACCTCGCTGGCTCGGTATGTGCCCTCAGCTACCACCTCCCAGGACCGCATCGCTGCTGCTGTCCACCGCGTTCTCCGCCTGCCTTCCGTAGGCTCCAAATCATTCCTCATCACGATCGGAGACCGCTCCATCACGGGTCTCGTCGCCCGGGATCAGATGGTCGGGCCCTGGCAGGTACCCGTAGCGGACGTCGCCGTCACCCAAGCGTCATACGGCTTCGACGTGCCCTTCGGAGAGGCAATGGCCATGGGCGAACGCACACCATTGGCGTTGCTCAGCGCAGCAGCGTCTGCCCGCATGGCGGTCGCAGAATCCCTCATGAACCTCACCGCCGCTCACATCGGTGATCTGAGCCGCGTGAAGCTCAGTGCGAACTGGATGTGTGCCGCGTCGAAAGCGGGCGAGGGTGCGGCGCTCTACGCGGCCGTCAAGGCTATCGGTATGGAGCTCTGCCCCGCGCTCGGTGTGGGCATCCCCGTGGGCAAGGACTCGATGTCGATGTCGATGAAGTGGAGGGAGGGCGAAGAGCAACGCGAGGTCAGCGCGCCTCTGTCCCTGATCGTGACCGCGTTCGCGAGAGTGGAGGATACTGGCGCAACCTGGACTCCTCAGTTGCAGACTGATGCTGGCGAGCCTACTGTGCTTGTGTTCTTCGACCTGGCAGAGAGTAAGCAGCGCCTTGGAGGGTCGGCTGTGGCGCAGGTGTTCAAGGAGATTGGCTCGGAGGCACCAGACGTCGAGAATGCTGCACAACTTAAAGTGTTCCTGATCGGCTGTCGGACTGTTCGAGAGAAAGCATCCGGGCTCGTTCTTGCATACCACGACAGGTCAGATGGAGGATTGTTCACAACACTGGCAGAAATGGCATTCGCTGGGCGTGTTGGCGTTGATGTCTCCCTCGATGAGGTTATGGTCTCTGGCGATCCCATTTCGACCCTATTTAACGAAGAACTCGGTGCCGTCATGCAGGTCTGTCAGTCACAAGTTGATGAACTTAAGAGCATCTTCGCCAATGTCGGGTTCCCGGTGGCGTGCATCCATATCATTGGTCAAGTGTACGAGACCGATGAAACATTCAAGATCACGCAACAAAATGCAACCATCTATACCAGTACCCGGGCAGAGCTGCAGCGCATCTGGGCAGAAACTTCTTACAGGATGCAGTCACTTCGGGACGACCCCGTCAGCGCGAAGGAGGAATACGACCTCATCAGTGACGCATCATACAAAGGCATCTATTACGATCTCTCCTTCTCGCCCGAACCGGCCCGCGACATCTCCCACCGCCCCAAGGTGGCTATCCTCCGTGAGCAAGGCGTCAATGGCCAAGTCGAGATGGCATGGGCGTTCACCGCAGCGGGCTTTGACGCGATCGACGTGCACATGTCCGACATCCTCAGTGGCGCCGCCTCCTTAAGCGCGTTCCGCGGCTTCGCAGCTTGTGGCGGGTTCTCCTACGGCGACGTCCTCGGCGCAGGCAAGGGCTGGGCGAACTCGGTACTACTCAACGCGCACGCGCGCGGCGAGTTTGGCGAGTTCTTCGCGCGGGAAGACACGTTCGCGCTCGGCGTGTGCAATGGGTGCCAGTTCCTGAGTCACCTGCACGAGATCGTGCCCGGCGCGCATGCGTGGCCCGCGTTCAAGCAAAACCGCAGCGAGCGCTTCGAGGGCCGCGTGTGTACTGTGGAGATCGTACCTAGTGCGGTGACGAGCCGCTCGGTGTTCCTGCACGACATGGCAGGCTCGCGGCTGCCCGTGGCGGTGGCGCACGGCGAGGGCCGTGCGGCGTTTGCGAGCGAAGAGGACCGGGAGAAGCTGGAGGCGCAGGGACTGGTGGCACTGCGTTATGTTGACTCGACGGGACAGCCCACGGAGATGTACCCGCTCAACCCGAACGGCAGCCCGGGCGGTATTACTGGGTTGCATACGCCAGATGGGCGTGTGCTGGCGCTGATGCCCCATCCTGAGAGAGTCGTCAGGCTGCAGTGCAACAGCTGGTATCCTCCCGAGTTTAATGACTCTTGGAAGGGGGTGGGTCCGTGGTTCAGGCTCTTCCAGAACGCGCGGAGATGGTGTGGAAACTAAAAGAGCGCTGAGCTCGTTTGATGTTCTCTAACATAAGATTGATGTACCCAGACATAAATATACATAGCAGAATCCAGTGTTGCGGGTGATATCCCGCTGCTAGGAGGCGCTGATGAGCACAAGGTCCGGTACGACTGCTTCTCTCCGCCGCCGATGTGAGCAAAGAGTAGTCTGCAAAGTAGAGTGATTATATCGCGTCATACTCGCGCATTTGGCTCCAGCTTAGGAGATAAACCTACTTTAGCGTTCAATACATGGCAGTTTGCCTGCGTCCTCCGCAATGAAGAGGCGACGGACATATCATGAATTCACAGTTAGATGACGTTGAAACAGATATTACATCGAAGAAAACAGATATCGTCGAAGACATGATAACATCACCAGAGTACAGTAGGCGTTTATGAAATCCAAAGCTCCGATGGCAGCAGAGTCATAGTGCCTGTCTTGTTTGTAACCTAGCGAGAGGGTCGTGTGAACAGTGACACAGTTCTCGTAATGCTGTGCCAGCGCGCGAACATAGGAAGGAGGACGAAGCAGGCGGGTATGCAGTTGATGTCGTTGTCAGCCAGTAGTGTTACGCGTCGGAATAACGAAGCGGTGCGCGCGTTCCTAATGAGACAGAATTCCGCAAACCACTCGGTGAGGTCGCACGGCATCCTAGGATATACAGAAGCTGTCCACTCGAAACCCAAGGTCCCTGGCGCATTGGCGCGGGCAGAGCTTCGCCAGCGAATATGAGGAGGGAGGGAAGGAGGAAGCGGCCGGTCAACTCAGCGCACGGGCCACTCGCAGTCAAGGGGAGAGCCGAGGCACGTGCATCGAGGGAGACCTGCGGTGGAGGGCGGGCTGCGCGCCATTCTTGTCTGCTTCCTCCCTCACCTCATCGTGCGTCCCTCTTATTTCTCACTTTCCCTTTTCTGCGTCGCTCATTGTATTCCAGGTCTCATCACTAGCGTCTCTTCTCCTTCTGACAAATCGTATGCGATTGAATAATTACCATATACTGCTGGCCGGAGCCAGCCTGGGTGAGTGCTGCGGACACCGTTACATCGATTGACCGAGCAAACTCTGACTTGTGGCCCGTTTCCACGACCCACCACCAGTCTTGCAAGCCAGCGCTGCGCCTATCCGCGTCGTAGTTGTGACGTCTCATCATGAAGTGTCCACCCAGCCCTTCGTCGACGCCAATGGCCAGGCCAGCAGTCCCATGCATCACCCGATGCAAGTGCTACCTATGAACAAGACGTTTGTCGAATCTGTCCGCGGGAATAGAGCTCATCACTGTGGCGGGCTTCGTGAGAAGGCCATGCGTCTCTCCAACCAGATCTTTGGCTTCCCTGCGCTGGACGCTCTCCCACCGTCCCACCACGCTCATGCTGTCCCGCCCCTGCCTCAAGTCCCGAATCCTGAACCCGGGCGTGTCTCCATCCTGCCCTACATCGGCACGCCGATCGCACTCGACAATGCTCACACTAATGAACACAGCGCCGACACCAAAGAGGAAGGCGCTGGAGCTGCGGTCGCCCACGACGTTGCTTATGCCGAACCTCTGCGCAAGCTGCCGTCTGGCTTAGGGTACACACCCGAGATGGGCCCTGTGCGTATTGTGCACATGAATGGCGAGGAGGGGTATGGCCCCAGAATGCGCTTCCGCCACCGCCGCGGACCTTTCCTCCGCCGCATCCACTTTGCGCTGATGGCGCTCGGTCCTTGGGAGGGTAGAGCCGTTGCCTTTGTACTCGGTGAGTCCGACTTTCATTGCTGCCTTCCCTATTACTTCTCTGTATGCGCACGATGATTCTGCTGCGCACGCCAGAGACGTGTGTGTACATGTTTGGTGCAAGTGCTGACTTGGGTTCTTTCACAGGATGCGGTATAGGCGTCCTCCTCCGCATGGTGTGGGTCCTCGGCGTTGTGGTTGCGCGCTCACTCAGCGGCCGCCGCACCGAGGAGCCTGCCGAGTCCGTCTTCGATATTGACGCTGAGGATATCCTCGTCCCTCCGCCGCAGTACACTGACGAGAAAGTTGCACTCATCGCTGCGGAGCAGAAGATTACCCCTACTCCCCAGGCTTAGAGAGAGGTTCCATCAAGATCGAGCCATTTGAAGGAAGTTTTGAGTCGTCCTTCTTAGTTTGAAGGAAGGTTTGAGTCTAAGAAGAACGACTCAGTTTTCCACGACCTTTCTGGATGCCCGCCGTCAGAATTACTATGTCTATGTCTCTTTCTCCTCTCGTCAGTCAGTCCGTCGATCGTCCGTATCTTGACGCTTGTTGTAATTTTGACCATGTGGACAGTCCAGTAGTTCCTTCTCCTTCCCGTCCCTGCCACCCACCATCCGGTCTCATACACGTCTCCGTATACTTTTCGTACGATATCACATACTGTGTGCTGGCTTCGTCCCCCTTTCGTTGACGACTACTCCGTCCTGTAAGTGCTCTACCGGGTATTTACAGATCGGAATATACTGTCAGCAGTTTGATCGTGTCTAGTATATTTATGACGGGTATTTTGCCGTTTGTCGCTCATTTCGTTCATTTCACCCCTGGCTCTCTGAAGTAGGAGTTCGGCAGCATGTGGCAAGTATTAAATGGCTAGCGCTGACCGTCGGCCGGTATTGTCGCAGTCGTCCTAGCTTTTGCGCTTACCAGATCACAGCCACCGACGGGACGAGCGTCCTGATATGGACTATCCACCTAGGTTCAAGCCACCATGATTGAGTACTGAGTGGGCACGAGCGCGAAGCAGAATGTCCAACGTGTTCGTCGACCAGCAAAGGCGGGCTGTGCGACCATCTCGTTCGTGGATGCTTGTAGAGTGGACCGGTGGCAACTCGAGCGAAAGATGTTCGCATTATACATGTTGGGAGCGCTATGGTACCGGAGTGCGGTTCACTGGATTGGTGAGTTTTTTTTGGAATATATGTTGCGTTGGTGAGATTTTATCTGGGGTTAGGCAAATGTCAGTCCGTGCATATCGTCAGCATACGAGCAAGAGAGAACGAATCTCTCCGTTCTCATGATATCAAATCACTTTTCCTGCAACAATGACTGTGAGACACGGCGTTGAAACACCTTGAGCAGCGGTGGTGAATATTTTGCTGACACGGATCACTTGGAACCGAAATGACAATCGAAGTCGGTCGGTCGAGCTGTTCGGAACGTTTGGTCAAGACGAAGGGTTCTGCTACTAGTATCACATCCTTCCCCAGATGAACTGCTCTTGCGTTTGAAACAGCAGTATTATGGTGTGGCGATGCCGCGGAGGTGCGTGTCAGAATTGCACACGCCGTGTTGCTGGATGATAACACTTGATGACGCAGCGCTGTAAATGTCTCGGAGGGACGGCGAAACTGTGGAATCTTTACGGTCACTCAAAAAGCGAGTTTGTTGCAGAACGACGAAGGAGGTTTATCAATGATGTTCATCAATACCTCTGACCAAAAGTCCAGCTAGAAGGAGGGGTAGGCCGCCGGTCGCGCACGATCAACGTTCAACGGGAGAGCCGCTATTATCGAGCTTCACGCATTCACGTCCCTAGCAGTGGTGGTTTCTTGGCAGCTGTTCTAACATGACGCACGAGAGCATGCTGTGCTGGTACGTGCAACTTCAGATCATAATAGCATTTGCACTGCAGGGCTGACCGGATTTCAATTACGACCATGTTGGCTGACTGGCTGCGACCCTCTTCTACGACGCACGAGAGCATGCTGTCCTGGCGCGCGCAAGTTCAGATCACAATGTTCGCGCTGCACGGCTGACCAGATTTCAGTTATGACCGTGTTGGCTGACTGGCTGAGACCGTGGGTTCCCCTCTCTCTTTTTTCTGCCAGCCGCAAGACAGAGTTCTTCGGTGCTGTCAGATTACGCCCTGTTTCCTTCCAGAAACCGTGCAGCCTTCTTGATATATACCCGCTTGCGTCTGTGCTCGTCTGCGCCCCGGAGTGGTGAAGGCGTGGAAGCCGTCGAAGGATGCTTCAGCTGACATCTGATCACTTTCCCATATGTAAGTCGCGATTCTCTTCGCGGCGTAAATACATCCTCACCGCTACTTCTGTAGTCGTGCCGCTCGGAGTCATAGGGTACGTCGTTATATATCGTGGCGTATCCAAGACTGACCAACGGTAGATTCTACCGCTACCTCTGGTACCTCATCCGCATCGCTGCCTGGTCCACCTACCGCCCCATCCCGCTCCCCGAAAATCCCACCTACGTCGCCTCAGAAGATGTCACCATCATCGTGCCCACCATCGACGCCGGCGAGGAGTTCATCGAAGCCGCACACACCTGGCTCGCCGGCAACCCGAAGGAAATCCTCATCATCACCGAGGAGCGCATGCGCGGCCCGCTGCAGGCCCTCGCGGATGCGGTCGACCCCGCGCACATCCGCGTGCTCACCGTGCCGTATGCTAACAAGCGCCTCCAGATGGCGCATGGCATCCACCATGCGACGACGGACATCATCGTGTTCGCGGACGACGACGCGCTTTGGCCGTCGACGCTCCTCCCGTACGTCCTCGCGTGCTTTGAGGACCAGCGCATCGGCGGCGTTGGCACCGCGCAGCGCGTGACGCCCGTGCGAGAGCGCATGACGGTCTGGGAGGTCCTCGCCGCATTTCGCCTGTCCATACGCAATATCGAAATCGCTGCGTCGACACATATCGACGGCGGGATCCCCTGTCTGTCTGGGCGCACCGCTGCGTATCGTACTGTTATTTTAAAGGACCCCGGGTTCCTGCATGGCTTCACGCACGACTACTGGCTGGGGAAGTACCAGCTCAACTCGGGCGACGACAAGTTCTTGACGCGGTGGATGGTGAGCCATGGCTGGGACACTTACGTGCAGTGCTGTAGGGAGGCAGAGCTGCTGAGCACGATGAAGCCGAATTGGAGGTTCCTGAAGCAGGTTCTGCGCTGGACGAGGAATACTTGGCGGTCGGACCTGCGCTCGCTGTTCATGGAGCGGCATATATGGACGGCGCATCCTTATGTTGCATATACAATGGTATGAAGAAGCAACTAGGTCTATGTTCTTCTGACTGAATATGTTGGCTCAGGTCGACAAGCTGGTTAACCCATTCACCCTCCTCGCCGGACCTTGCCTGGTAGCCTATGTCACGTATAAGAGCACCATCCCGGTTGATAGCGGAGGATATCACCTGCCACCATGGTTCGAACCTCTCGTCTCCCTTTCCTGTCTCTATCCCACTCATTCATCTGCCTTATCAGGAACGTCGTCCTCAGCTACCTCGCATGGCTGCTCGCCACACGCACTGCGAAGCTGCTCCCGCACCTATGGTACCGCCCGCAAGACATCATCTACGTTCCCGCGTTCATCATCTTCGGATACTACTTTGCTATCATGAAGATTTACGCGCTCCTAACGCTGCACGAGGTTCGTCCTGCGCCATGGCCATCGTTGCATGTATAATGGAGGTACTCATGAACCTCTGCATCGCAGACCGGCTGGGGCACCCGCGCAGGCATCGGCGATCCTACTGCGGCTACCGCCGCTGTTGACACTCAGACAAACGCGAACACTCCTGGGTGTGCGGAGAAGGAGAAGCGGCGAGATCCTCCACCGTCTGAGTTCCCTTTTCCTCCGGTCTAAGAACGCGAGTGGAATATCGACGTCACTGGCACGGCTTCCTATACGTCTCGTCATAATTTCTGGTACACTTTGATCGTTACTGCTAGACTCATATGCGTTATCTGTCGCTCGTCCACTCGTCACGATCTAGCCATTGTGTTTCAGTCCGTATATCTTCTGTACCGCCCATCTCATTCGCCCATCACAGTCGAGTCATTGCTTAAACTGTTTACTTTCTGTACTGCGCATACAATTCCGTACAGCGTCCCATGGGTTTTGAGGGACTGGTGGTGCTCTGTGTATCATATCCTGCGCACGCACAGGTTTCATGTAACCTCCTCCACGGAGCTGAACGCCGAGGCTGTGGAGTTCTCTCATGTTGGCATCTCGAGCGCACATCCATAAATTCTTATATATTAACGGGCATTACAGACGAAACGGAACTGCAGCCTTTAGATCCAGTGGGTGTCTTTAATCAGATGGCAATGGGGAACGAGACCTTGCGAGTAACATCGAGGGAAGAGTGGATTTACTATGCACGATACGAGCCGAAAGTGGAAGGAGCATGGCAATCCAGGTCAGTATCAGTGGAGGACGACGGGAGACATAGGCTTGGGGGATGAGTACTGAGTGGACAGGGAAATGCGTGAAGCGGATCTGCGTAAGACTACGGTGAGCAGTCAGTCGGAACCTTCTATGGGCACGATCCACGTCCAGCGACCATCCCTGAAGCCCCTGGCCGTGTCCTCCAGCATGATCTCGTTGCGCTTGTGCACGTACACCTAAGTGGATGAATGGCATCAGAATCAACGGTAGCGGAACCTGCACAATTACGACTACTCACCGTCTTGTCCGTCACCTTCTGGCGAAGCTCCTTGATCGCCTCGGGATCAATCGGTGACTCGATCAGCTCTGACAGTTCCTCAACCGCCCGTTCCAGGTCACTGGAATCCCCAGAAATTCATGAGACTTTGGATGCTCCGGTGAGATGATCAACTGGCACATACCGCTGATTATCCTCAAACAGCTCCTTCTCGTTGCCCTTCTCAAGGAAGTATGCCATACCATACGTCCACATCAGTGTCGTGCGGCACTTGATCACCTCGTCCACTGCCTTCTTCATGAATTGTACCTCGATCCACGAAAGCTCGGACATGATCTGCATCTCTTCCATCTTCTTCTCTGTCTTCGCATACAGCTCTACAGACAGCTTCTTCGACTGTTCATGGTTCGCCCAGCGGTTGTAGTACTGCGAACGGAGAGTAGATTGTAAGACCGGCGTGGCAAACAATGAGAGATTGGCCGACGTACGTGTAGGTACCGCTCCAAGGATGCACGGCTTCGCGACTGAGCATCTCGCGCATCGACACTTGTCTTCTCATCATATCGGTTGCAGTTGTACCACGACGAGCCATGCTCGGACCAAGGACCTATATGCGTTGTTAATCAAGCATTCGTCGACATACAACGGGTCTTCTCACCCATGCACACCCAGCAAAACTCATACTTGCATTTCTTGCACGTCATGTGGCTGAAGATAACATATGAATGGACATCTCACGAGCGGCAGCGACCACACTCACTTGCAACCACCATTCTTCTCGATCGTGCTCTGACATTTGCTGCACTCCTTCGTGTTACTCTTGATCCAATTCGCCGTCTCGCTGTCGTCGTGACACTTCTGCAACCACATACGCGCGATGACGCAAATGACCGGCCGATGGTCGCTATCGATGTTGCAGCCAAAACAGAACTTGTGCCCCGCTTCGCACGTCACGATCGGTACAATCTTCAAAAGAACAGACCTGTTTGGCACCGCCGAACATGACACCGTATAAGTGCAAGACGGATATGGACAATACTTCAAATTGTGCATGTTGGACACGAACTGCCTGACGAGCAGCTCCTGGAAACGCTTCCACGTCTCAGCATCCTCTCCCAAGGCTTCATGGACAAACGGATCCGGGGTGGAAATCGAGCAACGCTCCGCCATGCAGGTGATCCAGGACTCGGCCTCGGTGCGGATCTTGCTGGTCACGTACGCATTCCAACACGATTTGCAGAACTTGTGATTGCAACACAACGCCATCGTCTCCGTCTGTTCCTCGTCGAAGCAAATTGGACAGACAAACCTAGCGTCTTCCACTGGCGGGCTGATTCGTTCGAGGATCTTAGAGGCACCAGACTTGAGTGCAAGAGTCCCTGCACTTTTTCCGCTCTTCCGGATGCCCGACGTAGAACGCGAGGACGAGGACGAAAGGTTCGAGCGCCCAGCAGGCTCTGGCGCCTTCTTGGGCGGTATGATGCCCGCAGCAACTGAAACGGTTGTCGGGTTGTCCATATATTTCTCGATCAGCCTCTCCTTGTTCCAGTCCAAGTGACGCAAGAGCAAGGACGCCGTGGGTGTCTGCAACGAAGAACGTAAATATATACTATGCCAAAGTCGGATGATGCGGAGGTACTCACGTCGACCCCACATATCTCGCTGATGTAGTCGATATCCGCCTTCATCATCTTCTCGATGTCCGTCTGGCTTAGGGAATCGTACTCAACCTCGTATATCTTGTGGTGCGGATGCTCTTGCGAGCTGAAGTCGTTGAACGCATCAAGCTCCATCTCCGAGGCAGATTCTGCAGTGTGCTTGATCAGCAACCCGAGGAGGACAACCGACAGGAACACTCACCATCCTCGTCTTCGTCGAGCATATCATCGTCGTCGTCGTAGTATTCGACGTTCTCGTCGGAGTATTCATCGTTGGAGGACATAGCGTGTCGTTGGCTCACGGGGGTCGTGTATAGAACTGGTCGGTGGCACTGAGTGGTGTTTGTGACGCCCGATCACTAATAAAGCCTTTCATTGCCATCTATTGCCATCTATTGCCATTCACTTGTCACAGCGCCCAAACGTAAACGCATTCGTGTCTCTTAATTTCTTGAAGTTCATGCCAGCCCCTAGGCCTGGATGGCGGGAAAGGCATAACATGAGTTTTCTCTGTCAATCCGGGACGAAGGTGTTCGGCGTTGAATGAGGCACGGCTGATCGCATTGACTGTCATGGCTTGCTTTAAGTTGTCTATCCACATATGAGAGCTGCAAGAAAACACCTATATAAAGGTTTATACCTCATTGGCCTTGATCTGCGACCACATTGGTTTCATGTTGGCATCCCCAGCGCGCATGAATAATCCAATAATACATTGACACATAATACATAATACAGACGACACAGGAAGTACTAAGATCCTAAATTACATTGTGCGTCACCGATCAGACGGTGATGGGAACGAGAGCGTGCGAGGGACAGCGAAGAAAGAACCGGTGTACAGTGCAAAATATAAGTCGGGAATGGGTATAGCATGAAAATTCCAGATCAGTGTCGGTGGAAAATGAAGTAAGCGTAGATGTGAGATATTAGTGGATAGGAAGTGCGTGAAGCGGATCTGCGTAAGACTTCGGTGGGCAATCAGTCGGAACCCTCTATCGGCACGATCCATGTCCAGCGGCCCTCCATGAAGCCCCTGGCCGTGTCCTCGAGCATGATCTCATTACGCTTGTGCACGTAGACCTAAGTAGACGAATTGCATCAGAATCAACCGTAGCGGAATTTGCATGATCAAGACTACTGACCGTCTTGTCCGTCACCTTCTGGCGGAGCTCCTTGATCCCCTCGGGGTCAATCGGTGACTCGATCAGCTCCGACAGTTCCTCAACTGCCCGCTCCAGGTCACTGAAATTCATGAGATCTTGATGATCCGGTAAGATGATCAATTAGCACATACCGCTGATTATCCTCAAACAACTCCTTCTCGTTGCCCTTCTCGAGGAAGTATGCCATACCATACGTCCACATCAGTGTCGTGCGGCATTGGATCACCTCATCAACTGCCTTCTTCAAGAATTGCACCTCGATCCACGAAAGCTCGGACATGATCTGCATCTCTTCCATCTTCTTCTCTGTCTTCGCATACAGCTCTACAGACAGCGTCTTCGATTGTTCATGATTCGCCCAGCGATTGTAATACTGCAATGGGGAGGGGTGTAAGATCGGCGTGGCGCAAAGTGAAAGGGTGGCCGGCGTACGTGCAGGTACCGCTCCAATGATGCACGGCTTCGCGACTGAGCGTCTCGAGCATCAACGCTCGTCTTCTCATCATAGCGGTTGCAGTTGTAAAACGACGACCCATGCTCGGACCAAGGGCCTACGTGTGCCGTTAATGAACATTCACCGACGTATAGCATATATGCTCACCCAAGCATACCCAGCAGAACTCCCACCTGCACTTCTTGCACGTCATATGGCTGAAGATAACATATGATTAGACGTCTCACGATTGGCAGCGGCAGACTCACTTGCAACCACCATTCTTCTCGATCGTGCTCTGACATTTGCTGCACTCCTTCGTGTTGCTCTTGATCCAATTCGCCGTCTCGCTGTCGTCGTGACACTTCTGCAGCCACATACGCGCGATGGCGCAAATGACCGGCCGATGGTCGCTGTCGATGTTGCAGCCAAAGCAAAACTTGTGCCCCGCTCCGCACGTCACGATCGGTACAGTCTTCAAAAGAACAGACCTGTTTGGCACCGCCGAACATGACGCTGTATAAGTGCAAGACGGATATGGGCAATACTTCAAATTGTGCATGTTGGAGACGAACTGCCTGCCGAGCAGCTCCTGGAAGCGTTCCCAAGTCTCAGCATCCTCTCCCAAGGCTTCATGGACAAACGGGTCCGGGGCGGCAATCGAGCAGCGCTCCGCCATGCAGGTGATCCAGCACTCGGCCTCGGTGCGGATCTTGCTGGTCACGTATGCATTCCAACACGACTTGCAGAACTTGTGGTTGCAACACAGCGCCATGGTCTCCGTCTGTTCCTCGTCGAAGCAGATTGGACAGACAAAGTTGGCGTCCTCCACTGAAGGGCTGGTTCGTCCGAGAATCCTAAACATGCCAGGCTGAAGCCCAGGTGTCGCCGCGCTTCTGCTGCTCTGTTGGGTGCCCAACGTAGAGCGCAAGTATGAGGACGAGGAATGAAAGCGCGCAGGCTCTGGCGCCTTCTTGGGCGGTATAATGCCTGCAGCAGTTGAAATGATCATCGGGTTGTCCATGTATTTCTCGATCAGCATCTCCTTGTTCCAGTTCAAGTAGCGCAAAAGCAAGGACGCCGCGTGTATCTACAACGAATAATGCAAATAAATACTGTGCCAAAATTGGACGATGTGGAAGTACTCACGTCGACCCCACATATCTCGCTGATGTAGTCGATATCCGCCTTCATCATCTTCTCGATATCCGTCTGGCTTAGGGAATCGTACTCAACCTCGTATATCTTGTGGAGCGGATGCTCGGCCGAGTTGAAGTCGTTGAACTCATCGAGCTCCATCTCCGAGGCAGATCCTGCAGTGTGCTTGATCAGCTACCCGAGGAGGCCAATTGACAAGGACACTCGCCATCCTCGTCCTCATCCTCGTCAAACATGTCCTCGTCATCATCATAGTACTCGACGTCCTCGTCAGAATATTCGTCGTTGGAGGACATGGCGCGTCGTTGGGTGAGGGGGTCGCGTGTAGGAGTGCGGTACTGGTAGGGGCTGCATGCGGAATAGGCGCCAAAGATGTCAAGTTCGACAAGATTGACACTCCGAAAGCCTTCCTGTGAAAGAACCTTGTAACGGTTATGTAAGCGATAGTATATTCCTGACTCGGGTCGCAGACGCCACAAAAAGTTACATGCAAAGACTGATCTTCTCCAGATCTGCCGTACGACCTCTCCTGCTGCACAGAAAAATCTTTACACCACCTGCAGGAGTTAGAGCAATGGCGACAGAACATACAGGCACACATAAGGACCCTGTGACGGGCGAGATGATCTCCAAGCAGTGCGTTCCGTTTTCTACTCTCTACTCGAACGTCCTTCACCGATCTCTATGCGATCAGGGAGCTCAAGCGGCGCGAAAAGCAAAGAGCGAAGGAGGCGAAGACTGCAGAGAAGGCTGCAGCCGCTCCCAAGCCTGCTGTGGCTCAGAATGCAGCGGCACAGAATGAGGATGAGTTGAGCCCGAACGTGAGTGATCCATACTACTCTTAATCATGTCGTGGAATACATTGTCAGGCGCACGGTGATTGGGGCCATGAACATAGACCCGATGGGGGCATGTTCTTTCACCCTTGCCCTTGCAAGCCATGGATTTTACCTCCAACAACCATAACATTTTGATTGCACCGATTTCGCCTGAAGTCTGACCGTCTCGATTGACTGATTGCCCAAACACACAGCAATACTTCGAGCTTCGTTCTCGGCACATTCAAAAGCTGAAGGAGACCAAGTCCCCGAACCCATACCCTCACAAGTTCGAGGTCTCGATATCCCTCACCAACTACATCGAGAAGTATGGCCAGGAAGACAAGATCAAGCCTGGAGAGCGATTGAATGGCGTAGTCGAATGCATCGCGGGCCGCATCCACAGTCTACGGGAGTCGAGTCGGTTCCTTAGGTTCTACAACCTGCATGGCGAAGGCCAGAAGGTGCAGATCATGGCAGCCAAGCAGTACGTACTTTGCAGTATATGTATGAGCTGTGACTCAATTTCTGTACAGGGATTCCAAGGATCCAGAGGCATTCGTTGACGTGCATGAAAACTTCCGCCGAGGAGACATCGTCGGTGTGATTGGTACCCCCGTACGCACGAAGAAGGGCGAGCTTTCCATCGCTCCCTCAGAAATGATCCTCCTTGCACCCAATCTGCACCAGCTTCCGTCCGAGCACTTCGGACTGAAGGACCAGGAAACGCGATACCGCAAGCGCTACCTTGATCTAGTCCTCTCGCAGGGCACGCGCAACATCTTCATCACACGGAGCAAAATCATCAACTACATCCGACGCTTCTTCGACAATCTCGGCTTCCTGGAGGTTGAGACGCCGATGACGAGCATGATCGCGGGCGGCGCGACGGCGAAGCCGTTCGTCACGCATCACAACGACCTCGACCTCGACCTGTACCTCCGCATCGCTCCCGAACTCTACCTGAAGCAGCTCGTCGTCGGCGGGCTCGATCGCGTCTACGAGATCGGGCGCGTGTTCCGCAACGAGGGCATCGACCTCACACATAACCCCGAGTTCACGATCTGCGAGTTCTATATGGCCTATGCGGACATGTACGACTTGATGGATCTGACGGAAAGCCTGATCGAGGGGATGGTAAAGTATCTGACTGGTGGCAAGACAACGCTACAGTACCATCCTGAAGGCAAGGACAACGATAAGGTGTATGAGCTTGAGTTCAAGCGGCCGTGGAAGAGATATGATATGATAGAGACGCTCGAGGAGAAGCTCGGGGTGAAGTTCCCTCCTGGTGAGACCCTGCATACCGAAGAGGCGAACAAGTTCCTGCGCGATCTGTGCCAAAAGGTGGATTGCAGTGGATATCGTAGAAATCACCAATTGCTGACATCCTACACAGCACAATGTAGAGTGCAGCGAGCCGCGAACGAATACTCGACTTCTCGATAAGGTGGGATTCAATAATTAGCGCAATCGTGCGGTTTGCTGATTCGTTTCAACTCATTAGCTTGTCGGCGAATTTATCGAACCCCTTTGCATCTCGCCAGCCTTCATCGGTGTGTCATTCCTTATGCTGTTCTCACAATGTCTCATCGTTTCTGCAGTGGGCCACCCACAAGTCATGTCGCCGCTGGCCAAGTACCACCGCTCGCGCCCCGGCCTCTGTGAGCGGTTCGAAGGTTTCATGTGTGGCAAGGAATTCTGCAACGCATACACCGAGTTGAACGACCCGTTCGAGCAGCGATTGCGCTTCGAAGAGCAGGTGCGGCAGAAGGAGGCCGGCGACGACGAGGCGCAAGGCATCGATGAGACCTTCGTGGATGCGTGCGTATATTCTCACAGCTTCGCTCAAGCCTGTTCTAACGCTGTGCCGCAGCTTGGAGCATGGTCTTCCACCAACAGGAGGATGGGGTATCGGTATCGACCGCTTGGTGATGTTCCTGACAGATTCACAAAGTGCGTACTCGTGTCTCTGCTTCCATGCTATCCGATCTGAACGTGTGGTGCAGACATCAAGGAGGTGCTGCTGTTCCCGGCGATGAAGCCTATCGAGACGCCGGCAAACATGACCGGTGTTGTTGGTCCCTCGGGGCAGATTTAGAGTATCTGACTGTGCTTGATCTTCCACGTTGTGCAAATGGGAGTAGACAGGGTTGTCTTGCGGCTATGAACGTGTGCGACTCGAGTCTAAGATTCCTCCATCTTTTGAGCAATATTCTATGGTGAGGTGCGGGCAGTTCAAAGTGGGGGATCGTCGCCTTCGTATACGTGTTTTTTTCCGCTGTCAGTAGAACTTGTCGGAACCGTCACGCTTGCTTCCCATCGATACATGCTTTTCGAGGGTCGTCGAAGGTGCTGGAGAGGCACTCGAAGCGTCGAGAACTCTCAGGCCGCATTGGGGGCATGACGCGCGCCAAAATTTTGGGCGCGTAAAAGCCAAAGCGTATCTGCAGGCGTGCCCTCCAGATCTGCACGTTTACCTCTTCAACCACCATGGCTGTCGTCGGCGTCGATTTCGGTGCACTACACAGCAAGGTGTGGCCGCAATCCATATCGCCTCGGACGTCGCGCTGATGATGTTTGCGATTTGTACAGATCGGTGTCGCAAGACATCGAGGAATTGATATTATTGTCAATGAAGTTTCGAATCGCGCTACTCCGTACGTTTTCGTCTTCTCGTCTAGAGTGTGTTGCAGGATGCTCAACTTACCTGTCCCTCAGTTCCCTCGTTTCCTTCGGTCCCAAGCAGCGATCGATTGGAGAGGCCGCAAAGACACTCGAGACTTCCAACTTCCGCAACACGATCGGTGGCCTGATACGACTCATCGGACGGACATTCCAGGATCCCGAAATACAGGAAGTAGAAGCAAAGTTCCACAATGTGAAAATGGTGGACGTGGACGGATCGCTCGGCGTAGAAGTGAGTCGCATGTTATTGCGTATGCGAGCGCCTGTCTCATAAAAATGCTTTGCAGGTGCAATACCTGGGTGAGCGACGGGTATTCACCATCACGCAGCTGGTCGCGATGTATTTGGCAAAGCTGCGTGACACTGCGTCGAACGAGCTTAAAACCGGCGTCACCGACATCGTGATCACCGTGCCCGGATGGTTCACCGATATCCAGCGACGCGCAGTGCTCGACGCTGCTCAGATTGCAGGACTGAACTGCCTTCGTCTCATCAATGACACCACTGCAGTTGCTCTCGGCTACGGTATCACCAAGTCGGATCTGCCAGAGGCAGACAATCCACGGCACGTCGTCTTCGTCGATGTCGGGCACTCATCTACGTCGTGCGCCGTCGTCGCATTCTCGAAGGGCCAGCTGACTGTCAAGTCAACCGCGTATGACCGCCACTCCGGTGGACGAGACATCGACTTTGCGCTCGTCCGGCACTTCGCCGCCGAGTTCAAGGAGAAGTACAAGATTGATGTCCTCTCCAGCCCCAAGGCAACCTTCCGTCTTGTAGCCGGCTGCGACAAGATCAAGAAGGTTCTCTCTGCGAACGCAGAGGCACCGCTGAACGTCGAATCGATCGTGAATGACGTCGACGCCGCGAGTCGACTCAACCGTGAGGAGTACGAGAAGCTCATCGTCGGCGTTCTCGACCGCATCCCGGGGCCTCTGAAACAAGCGCTCGCTGACTCTGGGCTCACCCTCGAGCAGATCGACGCAATCGAGCTTGTCGGTGGGGGCACGCGTATCCCGGCCGTGCGCGCGAAGATTCAGTCTGTCTTCGAGGGCAAGACGCTCATGACGACGCTTAACCAGGATGAGGCTGCTGCGCGGGGCGCGACTTTCGCCTGCGCGATGCTCTCGCCGGTCTTCCGCGTGCGCGACTTCTCGATGCACGACATCGCGCCTTACTCGGTCAAGGTGCAGTGGCAGCGTCTGCCAGACGATGGTGACGATGATACGGAGCTCGTCGTGTTCCCGAAAGGAAACAACATTCCTTCGACGAAGGTGCTCACGTTCTACCGCAAGCAGCCCTTCGACATCGAAGCGCTGTATGCGGACCCCGCCGCGCTGCCTGGCGGCATCAATCCCTGGATCGCTCACTTCACGGCGAAATCGATCGGCCCGGACGAGAAGGGCGACTTCACATGTGTGCGGGTCAAGACCAGGCTAAACCAGCACGGTATTGTCTCGTTCGAAAGTGCATATGTGGAGGAAGTCGAGGAGAAGGAGGAACCAATGAAGGTGGATGGCGAGGAGCAGATGAAGAAGAAGAAAATCACTCGTAAGAAGGAAGTACCCTTCGTATGGAGCTCCACTTCGCTCGATCCTTCCATCGTCGAGAAACTCAAGGAGCAAGAAGCGCAGATGCATGCTGCTGATAAGCTCGTCATGGACACTGAGGTGAGTGGTCATCAATATACGGTGATGTCATCTGATTGGCTGATGGCACCTATGTTCAGGACCGTAAAAATGCGCTAGAAGAGTATATTTACGATACCCGTGGACGACTTGACGAGCGATACGTTGCCTATATTCAGCCACAGGAGAAGGAGAGACTGCTTGCTGCACTGCAGGCGGCAGAAGACTGGTTGTACAGCGAGGAGGGCGAGGACGCGACCAAGTCTGTCTACGTCGAGCGGCTCGATGCGTTGAAGAGGCTTGGTGACCCGATTACGTTCCGCTACAGGGAGGCGGAGGAGCGCTCGAAGGTGGTGAGCCAGCTGCGTGAGACGATCAACACGTACATGGCGCAAGCGACGTCGGGCGAGGAGCGATATGCGCATATCGACGAGAAGGACAAGCAGGCGGTCGTCGAGAAGTGTGCGACGGTGCAGAAGTGGCTCGAGGACCAGATCGCGCGACAGAGCGAGCGGCCGAAGGACGTCGACCCGGTACTCATGAGCGCGGACGTGATGAAGAAGCGCGACGAGATCATCTACTTCTCGACGCCGATCATGACGAAGCCGAAGCCGAAGCCACCAAAGGTCGAGCAGCCTGCGGGCACCGAGACGCCGAAGAGCGGCACGCAGACTCCCAATGCTCAGCAGCAGGAAGAGCAGCAGCCGCAGGCTGCGCCGGAGGGCACCAACGAGCCTTCGGAGATGGACGTAGACTAGAGATATCGTGCATTGCAATCTTCTCTCGCTCCGATGCAGCATTGATAGTCCGGCAGTTTGGGAACGCGTGTGCGATATGTTAGAAAATAACGCGTTGGCATGTAGAAGTACAGTACTTTGCGATCAAAGTCAATCAGATGCTTGTTTTCGGTCTGTATAGGCATAGGCAAAGTCCGGACGTTCAGGCTACAGCATGCTCATTCAAGGTGGCCACTCATGCTCCTTCGTACTCTCCACAGCCGCTGGCGCTGGCGACTAATACGTGTCCCAGGAGCACAATGACACCGACGATGATGCTTTCAGAGGAGAGGCAATTCGAGCCATCGATCATAAACAGTAATGGTATGACTCGCACCGCAGACTCGGATCTCACACTCGGGGACAACGTTCGAGGCGCATGAACTGTTGAGAAGAATGCTGGCAGGCCCATGTATTTTGTTCCTAACAGCGCTATGGTGCGTGACCATCGTCATAGCCAACAGTCAGGGAGGTGTTTCAAAAGTTGTAAGGCCTAGCCCACGACTCATTTGCACTTCATCCTCCAACGGCCAAGTAAGTTGGGATCCTTCTCGTTTCACTCATACTGATTATTGGTAATGAAGAGATCGTAAATGAACACTGAGTACACCTTTTTTGAGACGTCCTCTGCATGTCTGAAGTAGAGGCGGAAGCCATTTCTGACTGACGTTCCTCGATTTCATGGACCAGTGAGTAGTTCTGCCACTGGATATCACATCTATTCATATTACTATAAGCCGCAAATTCCAGTATTTTCAGCCGCGCAGATTAGCTACATGCAAGAAAGGCTTCAAAATCCTCCTGCAAGCCCAGATTCTCCGACAGGCGGTTCTAATGAAGACATTTTGAAGTGCGCTAGGATGCTATCATGACTATCCAGGAGCTGTTCCTGCCCGTTTTGCCTTCTTTTGCTCTCTATCTTTGACACATGGCAGCGTCGACAGTCGACATTCTGAATCGTTGTGCCAGTCTGAACTCAGAACTAGTCGCAACTCTAGTGTCGTCTTGACACCCTTGGGAACGAAATCATGTCTATGACCGATTACCATTGGACTTTAACGAGCATGGGTACTTTTTGCTGACGGCACGCATTCCTTTCGCTCCCGAGATGGGCCCGCAGATACTCGTAAGGTGTCTTTTGTCGCCCATTTCGTGAGATACTGCAGCCTCAGGTATGTATATGCAAATCTTGTTACATACTTATCGTTAAGTACGACAATCGAATGCTCAGGAAGGCACCGAGGGCAAGTTTAATCATCATGCAAGCAAGTATATGCATTTGCTTTACCACAAAATCATTGTGATCTAAAGTGCCATTTTCATGTCTTGCATGGTGGGAGGATTTGTGGATTGGATCTTTCCGCAACGCTGGCATTGAGACGTCACCGAACAAGCTTATGAATGGCGATGATATCTCGCGAGGACAACGTTACTGAACCTTGCGGGGAATAACGTAGGGTTCCTCAGGCAACTTGTCTGACCTGACAAGCAGCGGGTTGATGTCTCCGATTTTACACTATCTTGTAGCATTAGCGAGAATCCATGGTTCATCAGTAAGCATACTCACTGGAATGACTGGTGTTTAATGTTCGCTAGTGAACATAATCATAATGTGCATCGCACTGACGGGAGTCCGAGCTTGTGGCCTGAGAATCGAGATAGATGAAATCGAGATGGATGGAAATCGAGCGAGCACACTTTTCGCAGAAATAGAGGTGGTGTCCTCTCACGCTTACGGTTTCTGCGTGGAGGCTCTGAGTATCGCCGTCAACTCAGAGAATAACGACTCGACAACTCGAGAAAGTGGTTTCTTGGAGAGAGACTGTACTGAGACACAAGCTGTGGCGCGAGCGCTACTACGCCACTCGCGCTCGAACCGTGCGTCCGCGTGTTGCTCAAACTCGCTCGTGTATCTCGCCTTGATTCGTGTGCCCCATATCTCATGCAGAATCCGCTCGCCATCAAATAATTGGCATCAATTTCATTCTGCTTGCCATCGAGAGCCGACATTTGGACGAAATTTCCGACGAAGAGCGCATTCCTGATCGACACGCAAATTGCACCAGCAAGACAATCCATGAACAGACGAAATGACCTCCATGAAGTCGAAACAGCATGCTTCATGGCGATGGATATGTATTCACACTTTGCTATGATCACAGTCCGGCGGCAACGTCGCGATAGCTGCTCCATATCCTCCGGCAGCAACATCATGGATAACATTGCTGAAAAAGCCAAGATGGATCCATCGGGGGAACAAGATAGTGTGCGAAATGACACACAGCGGAAGTCTGGTGGAAGAATATGCTTCGGTTCATAGTGAGCGTTTCGTTTGACGTCGAATTGGGCGAACGATGTTGTTGATCAATGCTATAGTCACCCTTGGAAAGACATCACTTGACTCTTCGTGCAATCTCGCTAGAAGGGAATACGAAGTGGCGCGCTCACAATACACATCTCAATTCATGCACTCGGAGGAAAGCGCTGAATATAGATTGGTGTAAGTTTTTTCCGTAAATCATGCAAGCAATCTCAGACTCGCCTGACGAACTCCCTCGATGTATATTCAGTCAGGTCCTAACGGTTCCCGGTCTCTAAGAACTCGTGAAATTACAGATCACGAGTGACTCATAGTTGCTGCCACCTGCCTAGCCGGCCCAAAGTGTCACCTGTCGGTGATATTAGAAACATGCCAGGATGTTGGGCTCATAGGCATTAGACACTGCGACGTAAGTGCACATCACTTAGCCTACAACAGCGGCAAGCTTACACGTTTTCCCGATTGTCCCGCTCGACGGCATCCGATGGTTTTGCAGCTCCAAGCAGACTTCGCTTACGAAATGCAGAAGATCCTCTGACGGTGACATCATTGCCTTTTACAACCTCAAGTGTCAGTCAAAGCTGCAAAGAAGTCACTTCAACGGAGATGTCATGTCGTGATCAAGCGATAGCCGTGCTAAGAACAGTGAACTTAGACCGTGATTAGGTACTGTAGATGGTGGGTCATCGCACAGCCCACAGCCAGCAAGAAATCTAAAGCAATTGGCGCACAATTTTTTGCGTAGAATGTGGCTGGTGGATGAAGGCAAGCGAGAGTGTATAAGCGCGGCGCGAGCAGACTTTCAACGGGCGCCAACGCGTCCGTGGCTGTAGGTGCCACTCAATCGTAAACGTGTCTGTTCGCGACAGGAGCATAAATACTGGCGCAGAAACAGTATATACATTTGTGAGTCCATTCATTCATACCAATGAGACGACGTAGTTGAATACAATCTCCTAGAGTGCCACCATGGAACCCTCTGTCCTAGCCACTCAAGCTCTCGACGGACTCTTTGATCTTTCGCTCAGCTCACATTAATCCACTGCATAGACGCCTCTCTCTTTCCTGACGAGCATGTTGTCTCTGCTTCTTCTTGATATCACGAAGGACCAACGTCATGCCCGCGAGATGCATCCAGGCCTGGAGATAGATCGTGCTGCAGTACTCCGCGGCCCACCGCTTCTCGAGTTCCTCGTCGCGTGCCCGACGCTCCTTCCGCTCCGCACGAGAGTCTTTGCCAACCGACTTGCGAGGCTCCTCCGTGGACGCATTCGTCCTCTGGCTTCCTTCGGCAATGCTCGCTCCCCTTGAATGGCCCGTAGGCATGCCCAGCTCGCGCTGCTCACCGTCTATCACATTGGAATGCTCGCGGTCCTGTGGGCACGTGTCATCTCTCCTTGTCCCTTTGAGCCGTGCACGACATTGCTTACCTTTAATGCGGCAACCGGCGTTTCCACCAATGTGAAACAGCTTTCAGGATATCTCTTGTTGAACGCCCTCATAGCAGCCAGTGCCATTCCCGGCCTCAGCTCATGGGAAGGGCTCAACTTGTAGAAGATTTCGCCCAGGAAAATATCCCATGCCATAGTCTTGTCAACGTAGTCGGGGATATTGTTCAATGCGGGCCATGCCAGTTTGCGCTTAGTTTCTGCTTCTGTGGCCCCAGCTGCTGCTGCAAGCTCCGTGGCGATGTGCCATATCGTGTTAGGCTGCGTCGGTCCAGCCTCTTCAGCAAGCTCCGCGATAACTAGTGGATCCGCAAGAAGTCGTACCTTGGGTTGCCTGTGACGTTTCACCTTATCGGCTTTCGCCACGCGTGCCGTGTATGCTGCTCCAATGTCCAGACATTGCGTGAAAATCCGTTCGCATGATGCGATGAATGGCAGTCGCACTGATGTCACAGGAACCTCGACCCTAGCCTGTCCTATCATGGACCCGTGACTTTGCTGCGTGGGCGCGGTAGTGAATGACGGGGAAAGCGGAGTATGCGGGAAGGAAGATTCGTCAGACTCGGTACCGGATGTCTCAATTCTGCTTATCGTTTCAAGCTCGTCGCCGTTGTTGATGTCCTGCGCAACCCGTCAGCGATCTACGGACACGAAGCCACTATCGACATCCTCACGCCATGTGTTGCGGGTGGGTTATTACTTACCTCTGATCCAAAGCATCCCTGCTCTGCAAGGACATGCTCGTGTTCATACTCTGCCACATGGTTCCAACCATCGAGATAGAGAACTGGTTCGGGGAAGTTGGCAGCCCCAATCTCTGGGATCGGTTGTAAAACCCGCGCGCCGAAGCGCATGTGGAACTGCAGCAACATTGAGTACCTTGTGCACCAACCAAGTGATGCCTTTGTGCTTACCGAAGACTCGTATCCAACTGAAGCATCCGTGCATCCATTGTCGTCGTCCGTTTCCGGCGCATGTTCCTCAACTCCGTCGATCGTGAAGCAGGTTGACTTGATATGACGTCCACGATTACCGGCGTTATCAGGTGAGCACAAGCATAGACACGAAGGCATCAGCTGGATAACTCACCGAGATGTCGTTCCTGTTGTCATCCGTGTATGTGTTTGTACTTTCAGTGATCACCTCGAAGATGGTGCCTGTAGGCCCTTGCTCATGGTCATGCTCCGCAAAAGCACGTCGCACTTTCTTCAGCCATTTAATTGAGTTCTTGATGGCCGCATGGGCCCTCTTGAGCAAGCTTAACATTGTGGCGCAGTACGTCGAGTGGCAAACGCGATGTCAAAATGGTACTCAATGGACTGAGATCTCAGATAGGTGAGTCTGACGCTGTTAGTAAGAACTGTAATGACAAGAAATTTCTAGAAACGGTGTGGATGGATGGTGATGGTCACTTGTGGTGGTTGGGGAATAAGTGCGAGGAAGAAGGCAAGGCGCGTCGCGGTTGACTTTAGAATAGGCGCCTATATCGGTAGCTCGTGCCCACGCATGAACCTCGTGGCCATTGCCCACCATTTTCGACCATAGCTTGAGTTAGCCAAGCACTTTTTGTGTCTTTCTTTCCAAGCCCGAGACTTGATTTCTAGTGCGTCTAGACATTTTGTGTGGCTTGCAATGATCTATGATATGTTGCATCAGAACAAAGGCCACGTCTGGAAGATGAGGCCTCCGCAATGGAAGCTACCTTCCTGTGGCGTCGCTTGTGCGTGAAGGCCGAGGGAAAAGAAACAAAGAAAGTGTGGCACGAACCTGTTATGTGGCGCCAACGCGTTTGCCGCAGTCATGCAATATGCGCCTAATTGCGCGCACTCCAAGCTGGAAAGAAAGATCCTGTTCGTGGGATTCAGTTCAGTTCTCTCTCTTGACGGGACGATATGACCTCCAGGAAGTCGAACCAGCGTGCTCCGTGGTGACGGATATGTTTTCACAGTTTGCTATGATCATAGCCCGGCGGTAACGCCGCGATAGCTCCTCTGTAGCCTCCGACAGCAACAACGTGGATAACATTACTGAAAAATATGCTTCGGACAATAGTGAGCGTTTCCTTTGCCGTCGGACTGGGCGAGCGAATAAGAAGTGGCACGCTCACAATGCGCATCTCAATTCATGCATTTGGAGGAAAGCGCTGAATATAGAGTGGTGTAAGTTTTCCGTAAATCACCCAAGCAATCTCAGACTCGCCTGACGAAATCCCTCGATGTATATTCAGTCAGGTCCTAACCGTTCCCGGTCTCTAACAACTCGTGAAATTACAGATCACGAATAACACATAGTTGCTGCCATTTCTGCCTAGCCGGCTCAAAGTGGCACCTATCGGTGAAATTTAAAACAATGCCAGGATGTTGGACCCACGGGCACTAGACACTACGACGTACTAAGTGCGCAACACTTAGCCTACAACAGCGGCAAGCTTACACGCCGATTGACCCGCTAGACGGCAACCGATAGTTTTGCGAGTTTGACACTGCAGGAGGAAACCACGTGGCTACGGCCAAACTCTCTGTTGAGCAATGAGGGTGAGGTTTTGATTTGAATTCAAGCGAAGAGTTGTTGATAGTGTACACTTACGATGCAAAGCACGACACGGCCTGAAAACGCCTGGACTTGCTTCATGAAACAGTGCATCAAAGGCAGTCATGCTGAAGTGTATATGGGAGTAGATGCAGATGAACTAGTTGAGGTGAGACGAGAAGTCGATGGGATACTTTTGAAAGAGTGTGTGTGCATATACACTGCCACCACGCGCGTCGGAACCCTGAACATTCAATGAGTCAGAGTCAACGAGCGTGAGACTCGTCTTGCGCGTAAACAACAAATCTGAAGCGTGATTGACGAGTCGCATTCATTTTTTTCCAGTGCATTTATTACTCGGTCGGATTATCGAGTTGTGGCGATTACATTTTTATGACATTCAGAAGACGTCCTCCACAGTAGGCCTCGCTGCCGCTTAACGTCAATCGAAGACTTGAAGTCGGCAAGCCCCTTGTTTCTGGGGTAGGAACCGATCAGAAAACAATAGGAATTCTTCATATTAGTACACTTCTATTTCTGACGAAGGCACGTCCCAAATCGCAGGCGCCGCAAGAACAGCATGGAAGGAATGTCTCAGCACTGGGCTACATATGAGAACCGATATCGGGGCACGCAGCGTCCGCATCTGTGTGTTTCAGGAAACATCAAGCTTCAAGGTTCTTTGGTTGGCCCGTTATTCGAAAACAACAGCACATCAGCGAGAAACCACCCGCAGGCAAGTCAAGACGCTAGCATGCGGCATGGTCAGCGGCGAGCGCATTGCATGCTCTACTGCACACAGCAAATGTAATGCTTGAGAGTAATCTACATACGGGTATGCAGTTTGCACCATGCCACACTCATTATTCACCAATGTCAAGAACATAGGAGCAGAGATGGCAGTCATGCATGCGCTTCCCAGCTCCCAGCTCCAGAAGAACTTAGATTTCGAAAGGTCAAGAAGACGACACCATAATCGGGGTCGGCCGCACTGTATTTCTCACCAAATCACAGAATCGTTGTGTTTCTTGGTCCAAAATGCAGCATCTTTGCGCGTACGTACTAAACCTGCGATTCATATGGTCAGACTAGGCCAGACTCGGGTAGGACGGATATCATTAGATAGAAGGTAACTCGTGATGGCATGTTCGAAGATTGAGAGCAGCCATGTGTACTGGGGGACCGGTGACAGGGTCACGCAATGATGATGGTCATGGCGGTCAGATAGAATAGGCGAAGATCGTGTCCAAGCTAGGTCCAAGGTCCGTGGTCTCCCAAGCCAAATGGTGTTCGATAAGTAGAGGGAAAAGCCAGTCGTGCTAGCGCTACTATTAATAATGAAAAGCTCGAGGTACTACGTATTACGACACATCAATAGCGGCAAAAGAAAGCTGGAAAACTGAGACTAACAAATCACAGAGACGAGCCAGCGCTTCATGATAAATCACGTTTAGGAGAAGGAGAACGTGATTTGCGCCAAATAAACGAGACGCGAAGAAAACAGTTAGTTACTAGGAGAAAGACAGCGGCCGAGGACAACAGTTGCAGAATACACCTGTTTGGAAAAACAAATCCTAGGAATCATGGTTCTAGATTAGTTATTCGTTCAACTTCTATAGCAAGCAGAGAGGTTCGCTTACTACATGTAGCTTGGAGATCGCAAGGCTATATATATATATATATATCGAGACTTACTACGCTATTTGGGATTGCCGTTATCGTCCAGACCTATAACGAACGTTCGTTAAAACCCCATGTCAAATACAAGTTAACGTACCCAAGGTCCGATCGTAATACATCCACAAAAATGTACTGATCCTGCCCATCATATGCAGATTGGGACTGGATGGCCAATTCAAGTGCTGCGCGACGGCGGCGGTGAACTGGACGCTCGAAGACATAGTATAGCTGGCGAATGATTCTGGCAGTAATCCTACTGCTCCGAAGTCAAAGAGGCACGTCCTCCCTTCGACATCGACGCCGAAGTTGCTCTCGTCCATGTCGGACTGGGTAAAGACCAGCCGCTCATTGCAAAGGCTGACGAGCGCTATTGGCCCGGACCTGGGCGTAACCCTCGTACTAGCCTAGCCCAAGTCATATGTCAGTGGATGGCGAACACAAGAAAATACAAGCGTGGACGCACTTTATTTAAGTACCGCTCAATAGCCTGGATGCTTGAGAAAGACAGAGGCGCCCTGTAGTCCTTGAATAGCTTATGGCGGGCGCGACCACTTCCTAGAGGGCCAATCCGGACACGGTCGGGAGGAGGAGCTGGAAGATCATGAAGCCACTGGATTGCCAGTGCCACCCTTTGGGGAAGGTCCAGGACTGGAGTGGGTGTAAATTTGATGTTCTCCATGACCATGTATGCCATCTGATGGTCACGGTGGAAGAATTGGAAGACCTCGGGAACGTGTGGCGCGCTCATGTTGCTCTTTGCGCACTGGAAGACGTACGTCTGCGTCTCAAATTCAGGGTACAGAGACTTATAACTGTCGAATTTAACGAAGAATTCATCGATGACGAGGCAACGTCTGTAGCCATTCTCCCTCCCATGAGAGCGCTCATGTTCGGCGCAAGCGCTAATGATAACGGCCTCGAAGGCGGCTGCGTCGCGGGGTGTGGACGTCATTGCTGTCCACCCTTGGATCTAAGCAACGGCAAGGAAGAGCGATATAAGGATATGTACGAAGATGAAAGATAATGGGCTATAAGGGAGAGGACTAGGTTGAAAGCATACCACAAACGCAATGCTTTAGATGAAGACGCTTGAGTAAAGGTTAGGAAGAGCGACAAAAGGATACGCACGAGGATGAAAGTCAAAGGAGAAGTTAGGTCGAGAGGAGACGAAAGATGAAAGGGAGGTAGGAGATGGACACATGCCGTTCGTTCAAGTTAAGTAGAGGGCCTCGTTGGGGATCAGCTTGCCCTAAACTGATCGATCAGTGTCACGGGATCTCATATGGCAACCGTCACTGACCAGCTACAAACACGTCCATATGGAAATAAGGATAGGGCCGGTACCGGCAGCGCCCGCTACAACGATTATTGATTTCATACGTTGCGTCGGTGGACTTTCACTGACG